TGCAACTGAGGTACGTGCCCTTAGCGGGAACAGAACCTGGGTCTCTCTGGACCGCAGGCCAACGCTCTAACCTGTGAGCCAAATCGGCTAGGGCAATAAAAAAATATTTTAAAATAAATAAGTAAATAAATAAAAAGGAGGGGGAAGCATTTCTTTTTCTTTTTTTAAAATCGAATTTATTGGAGGTGACATTGGTTAATAAAATTATATAGGTTTCAGGTGTACAATTCTATGATACATCTTCTGTAGATTAGCATTTCTTGACCAAAAAAATGCCTATTAAATGTAAAGGGAATGGCCCTGGCTGGTTTGGCTCAATGATGTGTGGGCCCTCGGACTGAAGAGACATGGGTTCAATTCTGGTCAACGGCATATACGTGGCTTTCGGGTTCTATCCTCAGGCCTGTTAGGGTTGTGTGGGAGGCAACCAATTGATGGGTCTCTCTCACATTGATGTTTCTCTCTCTCTCTCTCCCTCCCTTCCAACCTATCTAAAAAAAAATAAAATTAAAAAAATAAACGTAGAAGAACGATAAAATTGGAAAGCCACAATTTTGCAACCGCAAATATAATGATGGGTTCAGGCAAGGATCTTTCATTGATAAGTCTGTGGGGTAAATGGTTACTGGAAAAACATCGCATCAATGCCTTATTCACTCTGCAGGTGTGCAAACTTCATGTCCCCGCTAACTGGACTGCGTTGCCACTCCAAACACTTAACCCCAGGACAGGACCAGGCAGCTTCAGCCTACAGAAGATGCTCAAGGAAACAGGTCTGGACTCTTCAAAAATACCAGTATTGTGAAAATTTAATACAGTCCATCCGGTGTGGTTCAGTGGTTGAGTGTCCCATGCACCAAGAGGTCGCCGGTTTGATTCCCGGTCAGGGCACATGCCCAGGTCGTGGGCCCAATCCCCAGTGGGGAGCATGCAGGAGGCGCCTAATTGATGTTCTTTCTCATCGATGTTTCTATCTCTCTCTCCCTCTAAAATCAATAAAGGAAAAAAAATTTTTAAAAAATAAATAAATAGGCCCTGGCTGGTTTGGCTCAGCCGTTAGAGCGTCGGCCTGTGGTCAGAGAGACCCGGGTTTGGTTCCCGATAAGGGCACGTACCTCAGTGGAACTTTATCCTTGGCCCTGGTTGGTTGTGCGGGTGGCAGCCACTCGATGTGTCTCTTTCACGTCGATGTTTCTCTCTCTCTCTCTCTCTCCCTCCTACTCTATCTGAACAAAACATGGAAAAATGTCCTCAGTTGAGGATTAAAAAAAAAAGGAAATAGGAAAATTATTTAAAAAATTAATATAAACCTGAGATGGACGGAGGGAGGCTGGTTAGTCCTAGAGTAAACTGATGACCACCAAACCAATGTGACAACCAGCTCTTAAGGACCATTGGGGACAAGGGAAATTCTAATGTGGTCTGTGTATTGGATAGTATTCTTGTATTTGCGACTGTTTGGTTGTTGGGTGTAGGAACGGGTTACAATTACGTAGGAGAAGGTCCTCGCTTTTTTTTTTCTTTATTGATTTTAGAGATAAAGGAGAGGGAGAGAGAGATAGAAATGTTGATGAGAGAGAACATCGATTGGTCGCCTCCTGCATGCCCCCCACTGGGGGATCAGGCCCACAACCTGGGCATGTGTCCTGACGGGGAATCGAACTGGCAACCTCTTGATGCAGGGGTTGACGCTCAAGCACTGAGCCACACCAGCCAGGCAAGAAGGTCCTCACTGTAGGAGGTGCTGAACTGTTTTGGGGAAAGTCCTGGACCTCTTCAAATATAAATATACAGGCAGAGATGCAGACAGAGAAGCAAATATGACAAAATGTTGACAGTTAGTGCATCTCTGGGGAAGTGTAGAGATGAATTGAAAAGCTGGAGTTCATTGTATTAAATTTTAGCTGGTTTGTGTTATTGTTTAATTGAATTTTTTTGTTGTTGTTAATCCTCACCCGAGGATATTTTTCCATTGATTTTTTTTTTTCTTCTAGAGAGAGTGGAAGGGAGGGAGGAAGAGAAAGAAACATCGATGTGAGAGAGACCCGTTGATTGGTTACCTCTCACACGACCCTGACCGGGGCTGGGATCGAACCTGTAACCCAGGTACATACCCTTGATCAGGAATCAAACCCTTGACCCTTCCGTCCAAGGGCCGACACTCTAACTGCTGAGCCAAACCAGCTAGGGCTCAACTGACATTTTTATTGCAATGATTGTAGAATCACACAGCTACAGGCAGAGCGACACCTTGTGTACTTTGCCCACTTTCCACAAAACAGTAACATTTGGTAAAACTGGGGCACAACTCACAACCCGGATGGTGACGTGGACTGTCTTGTTCCCCAGCTCCCCAGTTCGAGTGTGCTCAGCTGTGTGTTGGGTTGCACACAATGTCCTCCTGGGTGGGTTGATGTGTCAGACCCTGAGCGGGTCCCTGGCTTTGCCCTCCTGCACCCACACCCACTTTACGCCCTCCCTCAACTCCACCAACCCTAATGTTGGGCAACCCTGAACTGGTCCTGTTTCTAAAATGCTGCCCTTTCTATACGTCTAGGTAAGCGGGATCGGGCAGTGCGATGCAGCCTGGGCACAGGCTTTTTCTTTTTCTTCTTCTTTTTTTTATCCTCACCCGAGGACATTTTTGCATATCTCTTCAGGTAGAGCAGGAGGGAGGGAGGAAGGAAGAGAGAGAGAGAAACATCTATGTGAGAGGGACACATGGACTGGTTGCCACCCACATGACCCCAACCGGGGCCAGGGGCGAACTGTAACCAAGGTACATGCCCTTAGCGGGAACCGAACTGGGACTCTCTGGTCCGCAGGCCGACGCTCTAACCGCTGAGCCAAACTGGCCAGGGCAACGGGCTTTCTTATGTGTCACATTTCCCAGGCGCTGGGCCCGTGCTTGGCTCCTCTCGCTGGCCGAGTGCTACTCCACAGTGTGAATGTCCGCTTGCTCACCTGCTGGGGCACACCTGGACTTATTTCAATGTGGGGCTGTTGCAGATAGAGCTATGAACATTAATGTCGAGATTGTCATGTTTTAAAAAAGATATCAGACTTGGAAAGAAAAATATGAGCTACAAAATATATGAGCTGCAAAAAGAGGCTGAACTGCAGGTAGACTTGCCTTCCTGGACCTACATACCTGCTGAAGGTGACTTCTGACCCCTCCAAGGCCTCTGCTGTGATCACGTCCTGGAATCTGGGCAGCTGAAGCCTGGAATGCAGCCCTGAGCAAAGTCGCCAAGTTGCAGGAAGGGCTGGGGAAGGCAAGCCAGCGAGGCAGCCTTCCAACAAGAGCCAACACAGGAAGTCAACATGCAGGTTTTAGCTGGGGGCAAATCTGCCGGGGACAGGTGAGGGCCCTTCCTGCTGTGGAGCGGTGGCCCAGTGCTAGTGTGTCCAGCACCTGAATTTTTGGCTCTGCCCTAAAATAAATCCCTGTCTAGGGGGGACCCCAAGAAAACTTCTGGGTGTTTCCTGACTCTGGAGGCTTGTCAAGCTGTGGGTTGAGCACCCCCAGGTCCCCACACAGCATCCAGAGGTTGTCTCTGGGGGTTGCTTGTTTTCACAGGGTCTTGGTCTGTCCTGCCTGGTCTTCCCCAGCTCTGGCCCAGTCAGGCCACCAAGGGGAGGCTGGTCTGCCCTGCCTCTCCCACCTCCCACTGCCAGGGTGCCCTGCCACCACCGGGCAAGAACCAGCAGCAGGAGGTGACAATGCACTTTTGGGGACCGAGTGTTGTTTGTCTCCCCACGAGGGTCATTCCTCCCACAGATGTTTGCCGAGCACCCGCCCTGTGCCAGGCTCTGCTCTGCATGTCAGCCCCGTGGAGGGCCAGGCGAATAGGCCTGCCGGGGTGGAGACAGCCAGTAAACAAGTGAGCAGTCACGGAAGGCCTGTCCCAGTGCAGATGAGGCTCTGAGGAAACCCCCACAGGCTGACGTGTGAAGAGGCCGGGCCGGGGGCAACATGGAGCGCAGGGGGGCCTGGCCGACACAGAACTGCATGTGGGGTCCCGATGGGTGAAGGATGGGGTTGGAAAGCCTGACCAGGCACTGGTGAGAAAGGCCCGAGGGTGTCCGCTCCAAGTCCTGTGAGCTCAGCTAGACACAGCTGGTGAGACCCAGCAAGCAGGTAGGAGTGGAGGGGACCAGGCAATGGCGAGGAGGGGCAGGCAGGTCAGCCGGCCTTGCCAAGCCAGTGCAGACCTGGTAGTCAGTAAGGGGGGTTGCCCAGATAATCTCCACAGTGCCCCCCACATGAACTCTCTACCATGCAGGAGGTGTCTGTGTTCGGCGGTATAGGGGTGCCAATGTGTCACCTACAGGAAGGCAGGGAAGCACCCACGCAGGAGGGCTGTGGGGTCCCACACACCCCTCCTCCCAGCCTCCCACAGTTCTGGTAGAGCGAGCCCCGCACTGACGGGGGAGAACGCTCATCGCAGACCTGCGCTGAATCTGCTCCCCCCGCCTGGGGCCATCCCCCGACCTTCAGGGATAGAGGTGACCAGGGGGACGGGGAGAAGGGGGGAGAGATGGGGACAGCGGCACCGCCGCTGCAGTGGAGGGGCCCCCATGGCAGGGCGAATGGGACCAGGACAGGCCGGGGCGCAGTGGCCCAGGGACAGGGAGGCCAGGCCCCGGCGCTGCAGCCCGCACCGCCTCCCGCGACGGGGCGAGCGGGCGGCCGAGGCCCAGGCGGGGCGGGCGCCGTGGCGGCGAGCACGCGCTCGGAAGCCCGCTCCAGCGCCGGGGGCGGGGCCTGGGCGCGGGGCGGGGCCAGAGCAGGGCGGGCGCTCGGAAGCCCGCTCCAGCGCCGGGGGCGGGGCCTGGGCGCGGGGCGGGGCCAGAGCGGGGCGGGGCCCGGGCGTGCCCGGAAGCGCACGCCGGCCCCGCTCAGACCCCGCCCCGCGGCCGCGTGGCTGTGCGTCCCGGCTGTTGCCGATAAAGTTGTGCGAAGCTGAGCCGGCGGTGGCGGGTCACGTGGGCGGAACATGGCGGCCCCGGCGAGCGGCGGGGGCTCCGCGGTGTCGGTGCTGGCCCCGAACGGGCGGCGCCACACGGTGAAGGTGACGCCGAGCACCGTGCTGCTGCAGGTGCGGCCGCGGGCGGCGGGCGGCGGGCGGGGGGCGCTGCGCCGGCGCCCCTGCGGTTGGCTCCGGGGGGTCGCAGGGCGGTGCCGGGGCGGGGTTCGAGGCGGCCAATGAGCGGCCTCCTGGCACCGTGGGCCCGCCCCCTCCGCGCCCGGGTCGGGGGCTCCTGGCTCCTTGCGAGGCGGGGGCGGGGGCCGATCTGCAGCCCCCCGAGTCCGCGGCGCGCCCGAGCCAGCCTCCAGGGCCGCCGCCGCGTCCCCATCCCGTGTCCCCGGCCCGTGTCCCCATCGCGGCGCGTCCCCCGGCCGGTGTCCGCCGTGGCTGGGTGTGTCGGCCTTTGTGCCAGGAGGCTGACTTGCTGACTCACTCGCTGCACGTTCACCGGCAGCCGGTTGACCCCGAATCCGTGCCCTGAGAAATGTGTATTGGGCCCTGGTGTGTAGGGGACAGAGCACTAGGGTCTGCGGCGGGAGCCCCCACAGTGGGGTGGGGAGGGAGGCCTCTGTGCGGACCCAGAAGCGGGGCACCCAGAGCCAGCTTGAGCTGGCGGTATGGAGGTGGCTCTTGGGGAGGGGGTGAAGCCTGCGGCAGGGGCGCCCAAGTTTGGACTTTGTTCTCTGAGTGGGGGAGGGGTCTGGAGTGTGTGGGCTGACGTCGGTGGTGATGAGCTGCTGGGACTGGCCCGGAGGCCTGCAGAGCTGGGGTGCGAGGCAGGCCCAGTGAGGGCAGAGACAGTGAGCGAGATTCTCGGATGAGGTGCGTGGAGCTGTGGAGTGGACAAGCCACAAGGGGCTTTACTAGGCTTTGTCCAGCAGAACCAAGTGGCCCTCGGCCAGGTGGCCCGTCTCAGTGCTGCTGTGCCTGCCAGCCCAGCACCAAGGCCGGACACAGTGGCTCACATCCTGTCATCTCATCCATAGGTTCTGGAGGACACTTGCCAGCGGCAGGACTTCAACCCCAGTGAATATGATCTGAAGTGAGTTTGCTCTGGCCAGGCTTCTGTCCGGGTCTATCCACCCTCCTCCCCCAGGGCCCTGCTGAGGGGCTTAAACCTTCAGAGGGTTTATCTTCTCGTAGTTCTGGAGGCCAGGAGCCCCAGTCAAGGGGTTGCCGGACTGTGCTCTCCAGAGCTTTGGGGGAGGATCTTTCCCGCCTTCCAGCTTCCGGTGGCTCCAGGTGTCCCTTGGCGTGTGGCCACACCACCCCATCTCTGCCTCTTCACATGGCCTCTCCCTGTGTGTTGTGTGTTCTCTCTTCTCATCTCTCTTATACGCATCTGCCCTGATGCAGCATCATGTCATCTCAAGATCCTTACATCAGTTATATGCGCAAGTCCCTATTTCCAAGTAAAGTCTCAGTCACAAGTTCAGGGGGTTAGGACATGGGCGTATCTTTTCAGGGGCCCCATTCCACCCCATTGCACAGGGTTTTTGTGCCTTTGGTTGTATAATTTCCTGTGGGGCTCTGAGAGCAAGAGGAAGTGATCGTGGAGAAATGGGAAGCAACCTGCACCCGGTGGGACCCGGCGGCCTCTCAGGCCCTGGAGCTGCTTGCCTGGGTCTCTGCCTGTGGGAGTGTTTCCAGAGAGGGCATTGACCGGCTCTCATGGGTCTAGAGGAGAGGACTGGAACCCTGCCTTGGTGGGTATGGGCTTCTGTCCCCCAGAAGGAGCTTTTCACCGCAGTGGCATGTCTTCACAGAGTGGCCCTCCTCACTTTAGGAAGAGAGCAGCAGGCGTGGGAACCTGCTTTCTTGGACCTCTCCTGTGCTATGTTGCTCATGGGGCTTTGAAAAGAATCCTCACCTAAGGTTATTTTTCTGTTGATATTTTTCAGATAGAGTGGGAGGGAAACAGAGGAAAAAACATTGATGTGAGAGAGACACACCAACCAGTTGCCTCCTGTACGACCCCAACCAGAACCGGGGACCCAACCACAACCGAGACACGTTCATTTAACCAGAATTGAACCCATGACTCTGGTCCACGGACTGACGCTCCAACCACTGAGCCCAACCCTCCAGGGCTGCATGGGGCTTTTTACAGGGGAGATTCTGAAAGGAGATGCCCTCACGTCACCCCAGTTCTTCGCCTCCTGCATGACCTGCAAGAATTCCAGAGGCCCTGCTCAGTGCTGGGTTGTCCCCTGGTTTCCTGTCTCAGCCGAGGGCCCTCTCCTCCCCTCAGCCGCCTGAATCCTTGGCTGGTGCCTGGTTGGAGGTGTCACAGTGTCGGCTCTCTTGCAGTCTTACCGATCTTTCTGCTGTCTCACTGTCAGCTGTGTCTTGAACAGGGGTTTGAGCTGCAGAGTCTACTTACATGTGGGTGTTTTCCTTTTTTTTTATTAATTTGAGAGGGAGGAAGAAGAAAGAGAAACCTATTTGTTGTTGCACTCTTTATGCATCTATTGGTTGATTCTTGTATGTGCCCTGACCAGGGACTGAACCCACAATCTTGGAGTACTGGGATGATGCTCTAACCAACTGAAAACCACACATGGTTCGGCTGGTGTGGCTCAGTGGTTGAGCGTCGACCTTGCACCAAGAGGTCGCCGGTTCGATTCCCAGTCAGGGCACATGCCCAGGTTGTGGGCCCGATCCCCAGTGGGGGGCATGCAGGAGGCGGCCAATCGATGTTCTCTCTCATCGATGTTTCTGTCTCTCCCTCTCACTCCTCTCTCTCTGAAATCAATAAAGGAAAAAAATATTTAAAACAAAACACACGTGGCTGTTTTTCAGTACGTGCCTGTGCTGTTTCCCTTTGTGCCTGAGCACCTGCGGATGTGGAGAGCCGCTGTGTCGATCTGCGCCTTTCATAGAAGGGACTTGAGCATCTTTGGATTTTGGTATCTGTGGGGGTTCTGGACCCAATCCCCATCAGATTTAGAGGGACAACTATAGTTATGTTTTGGGGGAGTCAAAATTTATACACAGGATTTTCGACTGCACAGGTGTTGTTACCCCTAATTCCTTCGTTGTTCAAGGGCCAGCTGTAATTTGTTTAAAAGTGCTGCCACTACCGGGGAAGGCAGCCTCCCGTGTGTCCATGTGCCGGCGACGCCTTCCCCTCAGCAGGCTCCCATCCTTCCCTTGGTTTCTGCACAGATCCGCCGCCCTGTGTCCCCCAAGGACCTGGAGCTGGGTGAGCCTCCGGCCTGGTTATCAAAACCACCTCTTTTCCCTCTTCCAAACACCTGCGCCTTATAAGCTGCTCACAACCAGGTGGTCCAGGTTGTCTCCAGCAGCGTGCTGGCATCGGCCACCTGGTGACCTCTGTCCAGACCGCAGTCTCTCCCCAGAGCTGTAGTTTCCCCTGAATCCTGTCAGAAATAGAGCTCACGTCTGAGCTGTGTAAGTTCCCTGATTCACTCTCCTTGCAATTCGCTGGGTCCTCCACAGTCGGGGCCATGTGGTGGTGTTTTCACAGATGCAAGGGCAGAGTTTTTCTCAGACTAGTGCTCTGTAGGGTGAGCAGTGGTGGCTCTCGAGGGGGTCCTGGGAGCTGAGGAGGTGAGGAGAGGGAGCAAGGTCAGGAAGGCTCCGGGGTCGCCTCGCTCGACCCTCCTTGCCCACAGGTGAGGCCCTGTTTGGGTCTCCGAGTCCCTTCTCCCTCCATCCTGTCTCAGGAGCTGGGGCCTGACTCCTCGTGCAAGCTGGACATCAGGAGCTGCCTTTGTGGTCCCAGCTTTGCCTTTGGAGGTCCGGGCTGCCTGCTGGCTTTTCTCACCTGAGTTTCTTTTCTTTTTTTTTTTTTATTGACTTTAGAGAGAGAGGAAGGGAGAGGGAGAGAGAGACAGAAACATCGGTGAGAGAGAACATCGATTGGCCGCCTCCTGCATGCCTCCCACTGGGGACCAGGCCCACAACCTGGGCATGTGTCCTGACCAGGAATCGAGCTGGTGACCTCTTGGTGCAGGGTCGATGCTCAACTACTGAGCCACACCGGCCAGACTCACCCGAGTTTCTTGTGAAATAGGCTGAGTGTGGCCCAGCAGGGCAGGCTGCTGATAAAGACCCGGAGCGTCAGGCCCAGAGATCCCCCTCCTGCCTTCAGGTGTTTCCTGTCCTGACTCATCCAGTCTTTTTGTCCTCCCAGTTCCTTCTGAGAAAGCACCGTCTTGGACCTGGGAGCTCTGTGCATGGGGATCGGCAGAAGCTGTGGGCCACCCAGTTGCCGAGGGGTCCACGCTGGCCTCTTTCTGATCATTTGGGAGACTCAGGCTGCAGGGCCCTGTGCAGCTGCTGATGTGCAGGGTGTGGGCAGAGCCGAGGGCCGTTGCAGTGGGAAGGGCCTGGCTTTGCAAGCTGGGAATGGCAGTCTTAGCCTGCGCTCCTGCCTCCCAGCCACGGGCTGCCTGGCTCTCGGGGTGTGAGGCCCGTTGTTCTGCCTGCGATTCTCTTGAACCTTTGCTGCCTATCCTGGGGGTTATGGTCCTTCCTCAGTGGTGGCAGGAAGCAGGAGTGATGGGAGCTGGTCCCCTGGGAGAGTAAATGCCGTGGCCAGACCCCCTCGGGGTGCATCTGGTCGGTGGGTTTTCCCCTGCGTGGTGCCCATGCTCAGCCGAGCTCCCTGCTCTTCCTTCAGCAGACCCGCTGCCGCCAGGGATGCACATCTTCGGGCCTGTCCTGTTCTCCCAGGTGCCGGGCACGGGCCAGGCTGTGTGGACCTGTGGACAGCTGTGGGCTGTGGTCTGTGTTGCAGGTTTCAGAGGAGTGTGCTCGACCTCTCTCTGCAGTGGAGGTTCGCCAACCTGCCCAATAATGCCAAGCTGGAGATGGTGCCTGCATCCCGCAGCCGCGTGGGGCCTGAGAACACGGTAGGTGCCGGGCAGGTGGCGGTGCTGCTCCTGGCCCTTTCCTGCAGGCCTTGGACTTGGGGAGGCCGCACCGGCCGGGCGGCTGGGGCTGGGCAGGGCGCGTCCCAGACCCAACGGCCTGCTCTGGGTCAGGCAGAGCCACTTTCTGCTTCGGCGATTGGAACGAAACTTTGTTCTTGGTGCTGAGGTGACTGCGAGGGGTCGTTGTGCTGCGCTCATCTCAGCGTGTGCGTGGCATTTGCCTTGTCTGACGGTTCTGGGCATGAAGCTGTCATGCATGTCAGAGCCTGCAGGGCTCGGTGTGGCCTCCAGTGCAGCCTCTGTTTGGGAGGAGTCCCAGGCCTCTCCGACTCGCCTCGTTGGGACCAGAGCCCATCTTCCCCCTCGGCCCCCAGACTTCTACCCGCGCGGCAGTGTGAAGGTCCAGGGAGCCAGGGAAACCGGCCACAGAGAGCTGCCCTCTGTGCCCGCTGGCCCTGCCATTACCGCGAGGCTGCTCGTCCCTGGAAGGACAGGGATGCTCTCCCGAGCCCACCAGGCGTCAGGCCGAGGGGACTGACCCTAACACCCCTTTCCCACTCCAGCTACAGTTCTCAAACCTCGTGAGGAAGGGACTCTGACTTCCCTTGGTGGGGTTGGGATCTTAACGTAGATGTGCACTGGAAGACGAGGCCTCGGCCCTGCAGCAGGCCTCGCTGTGACTCAGATGCGCAGGCCACGCGGGGTGGCGCTCGGGGCCGGACACCCTGTGGGTTAGTGCGCTCCGGTGCGTTGCCTCCCTTGCGGGTTACAGATGTGTCCCAGGTAAGGATGTGATTGTTACAAATGGACTTAGGAAAGCAACGTGCTCGTTAATGAAGAAAGCTCATAGGACACAACGTACTACCTTCCATGGCTGCGCAACGAAGCGCCCCAAACCTGGCAGCTCGGGACACGGCATGGCCGCAGCGCCGGTCCCCGTGCACCCCAAGACCCTGGGGCCCTCCGCCCATGGGAGTCAGCCCTGGTGCAGGGCGCGGTGCTGCCCCCCCAGCCTCCCTGTCTCGCTCCCCAGGTTCGCATCGCTCTGCAGCTGGATGACGGCTCCCGCTTACAGGACACTTTTTGCTCAGGCCAGACGCTCTGGGAGCTTCTCAGCCGTTTCCCGCAGACCAGGCAAGTGTTGGGGTGGTTCTGGCTGTGCCCGCCGCTGCGGTCCTGGCGTAGGGACCGGCCAGAGGTGAGCTGCTGTTCGTCAGCCGTGCCCAGCAGGTGCTGGTCGCCAGCAACACGTCTTCCCGACGGGCTCTCCTGGCACGACTGCCAGGCTGCCCTCCTGGCGCCCTGTGAGGGCCCGAGAGCCCCGAGCAGCAGGGGAGGTGCGGGTGCCGGCCCTCGCCGCTGATGCTTGCGGTGGGAGACCCGTATCGTGAGCATGCGTTGTTTAAAAAGTAAGGTTTGTTGACGGTGACAGATGTGTGTCGGTTTCTGCTGCGTGGTGAACAGTTCCAACTTTGCCCCTTGAGTTTTGGTGTCTCGTGAGATGGAAGTCTTTGAAAGACCTCAACCCCCGTGTGAGGAGTGAACCAGAGGCAGGGGGTGCAGGCCCCATGGTGGGGTCACCTCCTGGAAAAGATCAGGAAGTTCCTCTGCTGATGGGCAGGGAGCCTGGGCGCCAGCTAAAGCAAACAGGAGAGAAGCTGGGTCCTCTGTGGAAAAGGGCTCTGGGACACCCTGCTGCAGAGACCGCAAGGGTCCCCCGTGGGGAGAGGGTGGTGATGCGCAGGGCCTGGTCCTCGGGTGCAGGCGAGGAGGAACCAGCGGAGGACGCTGCTGAGGGTTCTCCTGGGGACGTTCAGGGTCCACACGAGCCCTGCAGGACGGGCCAGCTGCTGTTCTGTGCTTCAGATGTAGTTCAGGAAGCAGCAGGGCCGTGGAGACCCCTCCGGGAGGAAAGGCTCGGAGGAGGCGCCGGGACACGTCTGTGGAGCGGGAGCCCCGGCCCAGGCAGACAGCTGTGTGAGCGCGTGTCCGTCATCCACACAGGAGTGTTGTGCCCAGTCACCTGCACATTTCTCCCTAGAAATTCCCTTTGCGTCTCCGCGGCGTGCAGGCTGATTGTGTGGGGGCTGTTCATTTGTGCACCCAGCCACCAATTCTGTCTGTTGCTCCACAGCCAGCCGGAGGTCTGTGTACCCCAGTTCCCTCCGAGGGAATTCTAGAGGCAGAATTGCTGGGCCAGCAGTGAGGGGCATCTCTCCATTTCAGCTCCAAAAGCCCAGCCTTTCCCCGGAAGTTCGGCACAGCTCACGACCATGCGCTGGGTTCCCACGGCACGGGCAGGCGGCAGGAGGATGGCCAGGCGCCTGAGTGGCTGTGGTGTCGTGCTGGGGCTGGCGGAGCTGTTCAGCTGCCTGTACTGCGAAGACCCCACTGGCAGGGCCCTGAGTCCAGGTCCCCACAGGAGGGGCACGCAGGGAGCTGGTTCCCTCACCTGATGCTCGGGGGAAGAGACGAGCGTCCCAGAGCATGGTGTGTAGGTCTTGTGGGAGCCATCGGAGGTGAGCGGGGCACCGGGTCCACCTTTGCTCAGGGATCAGGGTGAGTGTGGTCCAGCCCTGACCACCGCCTCTGGGGCTACTAAATGGCCAGTTGACATGCCATGTGGGCCACACGTGCGGGCGCAGAGGTGGTAAAGAATTTTGTAATAGCCACATCAAAGGAAAGTAAAAGCATAGGCAGTTAACTTTAGGAACTTGGTTAACTTGACTTGCTATATCCAAAATATTACCCTATGAACATGTTATCAAAAAGAAAGATGAGATAGCTGTGTTCTCTGTCATAGGAGGTCTTTGAAATCTGCATGTGTCCCACCTGGACCAGGTCCTCCTTGGGCCAGCTGTCCCCCCAGAGCTCAGGACCGCAGGGGCTGCTGGCTGCCTCGAGTGGCTGGGCCTGCGCTGCAGTCCGCTGCTGCTTGGGTGTCTGCAGCAGGGAGGGCAAGAGGCCGGGGCCCTGGGGGTGCTGCCCCCAGGTGCCATTTCCCGAGGTCCTGGGCCCCTCTTCTCCCAGCCTAATTTCACGGCCCAGCCTGTGGCTCTGTCTCAGCACTTCATCCCACCCGGCGTAGAATCGGGGTCTGAGTGTCCCTAGGCAGGGTGGGCACGTGAGACACTCCCCGGCGGTCGCACTGAGGTGTGTTTGTGTGCTCACCGCAGGGCTTTGCAGGTGCCAGAGACGTAGGTGCCAGGGTACCCACTCAGCTCGCAGGCAGCCCCTTCCCTTGGGACGGCCAGAGGCTCCTCTCTTCTCGGAACTGTCCCTGCGCAGTCTTCCTCGGGGGGCCGGCTCTGCGGGCCTTGACCTCCTCGCTCCCCCGTCTCTTTCTTCGTGGCTGGGCTCAGTGGTGGTGGCATGAGTCACCTGCCCCTCAGGACGCGGCCTCACCGGAGGGGGCCTCCCTGGCAGCAGGAGCCCTCTGAGCCTGCGGGGCTCGGGGTAGTCTTGTGATTCTGGTATGCGCAGTGCAGTGGTGCCAGCTGTGACCTGGTTAGGTCCCAACAGGTGACATAGACAGAAGAGGCCCCAACACCTGGTTTGCCCCAGCCGGCCAGCGTGGGCCACAGCCCACACCGTGGGGATAACGTGCTTTGTGGTGAGTGAAGAACCGTCAGCAGGACCTCTGCCCTAGAGTCGCCCTGCCCCGCCCGGCTGTCCGACCAGGGAGCATGTCAGCTGGCAGTGGACCGTCCTGCGTGTGCGGGGTGGTGTCTGGGCGGGGCAGCAGGTGGGCACCATGGGAGTTCTGCATGACGCCTGGTTTCTGCCTGGGTCCGGGGCACAGGGCTCTTCAGGAAGCTCAGCTCAGCTTCTTGGAGACATTTGGGACCTTAGTGAGGGTGCGTGAGGGGCGGCTCCTCCATGAACTGGAATGTCCCCTGGGTCCACTGTCCTGGTCTGGAGAGAACTCTGCTAATTGGCCAGGAAGGTCTGGAAGTGATTGCGGCCGCCCCTCCCCTCGCGTGTTTACAGGCGTCTCCCTCAGATCCACTCGGAATCCGATCCCTCTGGAGGAGCCGCACATCAAAGCCGGGCTGGCGTTTGATGTCCAGAGGCCTCCGCAGGCAGGAGGCAGCAGCTCTCAGCCCTGCTTGTGATTTGTGGTCCTGCTGGCACTGGGTCCCTGGGGAAGGCAGGCCAGCCGCGCTCGGTGCTGCGGGCTCTTGTGCTTTCCTGAGGCCTGGGGTCACCGGGTCCTGGTGGCTGGTCCCAGGCCCTTTGGGGTATGCCCTGACCCACTGTTGCTCTGGTTGAGGCGATCAGCTCGGGCCTCCTGCTTCCTGTGGGAACCTCGGGAGGCGACAAGGCGGGCAGTGCCAGGCCTCGGGCAGAGGCAGGGCTGAGCCTCCCCCAGGCTCTGGACTGCGGTCTTAGGCCTCTGCAACTCACACAAGCAAAAACTGACGCAGACGAGAAGCGGGCAGAACCCACTCCAGAGCCACACGGAGGACCTGGCTATGGTCTCAGCAGCCGAGTGTGCATGGTGCAGTCAGCCGGAGGCCCTGCGGCTTCCGGTGCCCAGCGCAGCTCTCTTGTCCTCTGTCCCAGCTGCGTCCACCTGGGCACTTGAGCCACGAGGCCATGAGACAGTGCAGCACTGTGCGGCCTGAGGTCACCACAGGCTTCCTGCTCTGTGGGCCGGGCCTCCGGGACTCGCCCTCTGGAAGAGAGGGTCTAGCTGATGATTGTATGTCAGGAAGTGCAGGAGGGAACTTCCCTCCATGGTCACAAGCTCCAGAGCCAGGACTTGGCCAGCTTGCAGCCCGTTCATAATCTGGTAGTTGGTGCAGGCCTGGGTAGTACGAGCTGGTGTCATTGGGCACTGCGCAGGTGCATGCATGAGCGTGTGCGCATGAGTGTGCATGAGCGTGTGCGAGTGCACGAGTGTGTGCACGTGAGTGTACGAGCGTGTGTGCATGTGACCACGTAGGTGCACATGCATGTGCATGTGCACCTGTGCATGTGATTGTGTGCATGTGGGTGTGCCCTTGCATGCCTGCCACCTTTCAGACCTGTCCACCTGTGCTTCTGGGGGCTGCTCTGTCCCATCTTGGGGTCTGGCTTATGAGGGGGGAGGATCTCAGTGGCCAGTCTGGTGTGGGAAGTGCCTGCTGCTGTCTTACCATAGAACATGGACTCCAGGTAAGACTGAGGACCATCCAGTCCTCGGTGACCTGGTGACCTGGTGACAGTGTGAGGGTTGTGGTGTAGGGGCACTGACCATGTTTGCGGTTCCCAGACGATGGAGAGCACATCCTGGTGTTTCCTGCCCCTTTGCCCTGTGCAGTCTCCGTGCCCAGCCTTTGTGTAGCTCTGGGCGGAGGTGCTCAGACAGCCCAGGGGCACCAGCTTCGGGAGCCCTGCATGGCCTTTGGTTTTGCTTTTCTTGTTTATTGGGGACAGTGATTTTGGTGGCCCAGAGAGCCCTCTGCGTGTCCCTGTCCTGCTTGACCATGTAGGCGTCTGGACATGGTTCACGAGGAGGCACCAGAGCACCCTCCTCAGGTCACCCACACTGGGTGCAGGCATCAGGTGCGGTCCCAGCCTGAGGCTCCTGGGGAAGACCTCAGCCCTGGTTGTCCCGGCGTTGCCCGCGGCATCTGGGCCGAGGGGATAGCACTTGGGGACCTTGGCCTCTGTCCTCAGAGTCACTTAGTGGGTTTGTGCCCCAAGCTGCTCCTGGCACTTGGGTCAGTGACCCTCCTGGAGGGTAGCCTCAGATAAAAGCCCAGGTCACAGCCCCCAAGACGCTCATTGCTGACCTGGGCCCAGCTGACGGGGACCCAGGCTTGTCCCCTGCACTCTGAGCCTGAGGCCGGAGGCCAGTGGGAGACCCCCAGGCTGTGTGCTGGTGGCCCCTGGGGGCCTCTGTGGTGCTGTGGGGTTCCCAGGGTGTGTCCACACACCAGCGGCCAGCCTGTGATGTCCTTCTTTGTCCTGCAGGGCGTGTCTGGAGCAATCATGGGAGGCCAGTCCGGTCTGCGTGTACATGAGGGATGAGGTAGGCGCTTGACCCCACCCGCCTGGCCTGGGCCCTCCGCCTGGTCCCCTCGCCATGCGGCCCAGCCCGGTTCCGATCTGGAAGACGCTCCCTCTCCTCCCTGGGCGCGGAGCTCTGAGCTCGGGGCTCTGAGCTCGGGGTGTCGTGGACGGCAGGCTCGCTGCCGGGCTGACCGCGGCCGCGGCGCCCACCCCGCCCTCAGCGCCTGTTTGTTTTCTCAGCTTCTCAGAGCCCGAGAGTCACGAAAGTGGTTTCATTTTAATAAATATTTGCTTTGCTCCGTTTTGATCTTTTTCAAAACCGAGTACAGCATGGTGCAGGCCCAGCCTGGCAGAGGCCCTGCCTGTCCCCGCCCTCCTGCCCGTGACGGGGACCCTCCTGGCTCTCGGTCCCCTGGCTCACAGGGGCTTTTTGTTTCAACCTTGGCTGGGTGCCCTTTCCTGGCCTGGGGTGGCCACTGTCCCCGTGGAGCCCCGGGAGGCCTTGGTGTGGGTGAAACACGCCCATGAAGGCTGTGAGGGGAAGAGACCTGGGGGGACATGTCCTCACTCAGAGGAGTCGGGCACCTGGACCCACATGAGGGCCATCATGGTCCGTGCAGCGCTCAGAGGGCGGGTCAGGTGGCCAGGTGTGGCTCACACAAGCCTGAGCGCTGCCTGCCCAGGCCTCAGATGGGTGGGGCCAGGGGACAAACCCGACCGGGAACGAATGCTCAGGTGCAGGTTGGGGTAAGGGAGGCTGGACCTCAGCTCAGGAGCTGGCTGGGGAACCCGTGGAGTCAGTGCCCAGGCTGGGGGCGGCCAGGGAGGTGGGCCAGGCAGGTGGGCAGGACCCATGATGCCTTCCCCCCGGTCAGCTCGAAGTGTTGGCCCAAGCCAGGCAGGAGAGCTTTGTCAGCGAGGGGTCAGCAGAGGCCCTGGCATCCCTGTCCTGTTCTCCCCCACAGGTGGCTGGCAGAGCTGCCCTTCAGAGCACGACGCTGCAGTCCCTGGGCCTCAGCGGGGGCAGCGCCATCATCAGGTGGGGCCTCCGAGCCGTGTTTGGTGAAAGAAATGAGGTCTCAAAGGGCAGGGGTGGGAAGTGTGGAAAAGTGAAGAATACATGGCCCCGTGGCCCTGACCCCTTGATCTGAGGCCACTACTGGGGTTTCCCACCTGTGGGTGGGTGATGGGGGTCATGAGACACATGCTGAGACCCATGTGTGGAGTTTCACCCTCTTTTTGGACCCCTCAGGTTTGCCATGAGGCAGTGTGACTCGGCCGTCCAGCAGGAGCCCGGGGTCTCCTGGAGCAAAAGCCCAGGCAGCCCGACCCCTTCCCTGTCGGCTGAGCAGGCAGCCGGCAGCCCTCTGCTGCCCCTGGACTCTGCCGGGCTCAGCCGGGGCGACGTGAGCCGTCAGGACGAAGTGGGTGCCCAGGAGAAGCAGATCCCCAAGGAGCCCATCCCTGGCCCCTTTGTGCCTTTTTCTGGAGGGGGACAGCGCCTGGGGGGCCCCTGCGGGTCTGCGAGGTGTCTGATGTCACCATCAGCCAAACTGCCCAAGACCTTCTCCAGCCCTGGAGGCCCCTCCAAGCCAAAGAAGTCAAGGCCCCTACCGGAGCCGGAGCCGGTAAGCGGTGAGCTGGGTACTGGGGGTCCTTCCTCCTGACCTCTTGGCCCGTCAGCCTGAGGGTGGTAGGCTTGTTGGGTGTGATTTCATCTCAGAAACGATCTTTTGGTTTTGTTCTGTCTTAAATTAACTTCATTGAGGCACAATTTTAGCTGTAGTGTGATGGGTTTTGACGAACTTGCAGCTCTGCCTGGGTGTGGGGACTGACTCTCCTGTCCCAGGTGGCGCCTTAGCCCGTTGTCCTCTGCCTGGGTTGCTGGTTTCGACGTGAGGTAGCTGGGGCCTTGACTGTCCCCACGCAGGCCCATGACGAGAGGCCAAGCCGGGCACGCGTCTGCGTCTGGTGCCTCAGCCCGCCGCCCTCCCGTGCGCCAGCTCCCGAGGTGCCGCCGCGGCCTGGACGCCACTGCCGCAGTGAGCGGGGCCGTTTGCGGGCAGCGTGTCGCCTTCTTGACGCCAGGCCAGTCTTTGAGCACCTCCGGCTCACTGGCCACCCACTTGTTTCTGAACCTCACAGCCACCTCCACGGACGTCCACCCCTCTGCTCCCCGGATCACATACTGACCTGAGCGCTGGATGGTGCCCCGAATTTTGGGTCATGCTGAGCAGGCAGTGATGGGTCAGGGAGTGGGGCCCCAGAGTGATGGGACCTCCAGGCGCACCACCTGGGGGACTGTCCGTGTCTGCTGGCACAGCCCTGAGGCCACCCCTGGTCGTTTGTGGGTCAGGCTGGCCTGCCCAGGCCCTGCTCCGGCCTCAGCCATGCGGGAGTTCCCGGGAGGGAAGGCGGCTGGGCCACCTGTCGGCTCAGCTCTCCCCGGGTGGCGATGCCAGACTTGCTCCTTGGCGCACCTCTGGGACTTTCTTCGGCTGGGTTTTCACGAGTCACCCAGCAGGTGTCCACGGCGTCTGGGGACAGGCAGTATGGTTGTCGTTGACTCAGAGGCTGCACTTGTGGGGTCCCTCTGAGTGCTTCCTTGGAGCTCACAGACCCACCTCCCGTTATCTATGAAAGCTCATCGCAATGCCCTGGGCACCTTGGGCTCCTGGGCAGCCCCAGGCTCCCTGCCTCCTTGGCCGTGCACCCGAGTCCAGCTTAGCGGGCCTCTGCCCAGCCTCTGGCTGGCACTGACTCGAAGCACTGGAACGCGAGAAAGAGACCTTACTGTAGGCCAGTCTGGCTTTCCAGCCTGGGCCGTGCGTGTCACCTGTGCAGGTGTGTGTGGGTGTTGCCCTGAGACGCTGCTGCTGTGTCTGTGCCCAGGGCTCGGCCTCGCGCCCTCCTGTGCCCTCCCTTCAGCCGGAGTGGCACCATCCCTGCTCCCTGTCCTGCGCGCACACGAGAGCCAGTCGGGCTTCCGGTGATGAGGAGGATCTACTGCTGGGAAAGTCCCTCGCAAGCCCCCTTCCCAGGTGGGGAGAGCCATGGCATCCTGGGGGGCCACAGGGACGTTGTGAGCCAGCCCCCGGTGCCGGCGCTTGTGCCACATGCTGGTGGTTCACACGGCCTTGCTGGGCCGCTCGTCCCTGTGGATGCTGCGTCTGTCTCCTTCCCTCCCTGAGTCTTTCTTGCTCTCTGATGTCTGTTGAATAGCACCTGTTGCAGTGGGCGTCCTTGCTCTGATTCTGACCTTGGAGAGCGCAACCTGCCGTTTGTCTACAAAGGATCATTGGAGCTGTGAAAAGCTTTTACCAAGTTAGGAGCTCCTGTTCTTACATTTCTGAGGTTTTCTTTAATCATAAGTAGGTGTTGAGCTTCACAAACTGCTTTTCCTGCGTCAGAGTATCTGCTTCTCTCGCGTCCTTCATGTGTCCGCCTGGCAGGGTCTGGGAGGCCCGGCGAGCTGGCATTCCGGGGGCAGTCCGGGTTCCGTGTGTTTCCTTCTCAGCTGCACGGTTGGCCTGGTTCGCTCATGTTTCGGTTCGTAGTGAAGTGCACTGCTGAGGTCGCAGTGTGAGACCGTCCGCCTGCGCTGCCTCCTCTGGAACCCTCCTCACTCCTGCCTCCAGGTCGCGCCCCTGGGAGGCTGGAGGGTCAGCACCTGTTCCTGCTGGGGTTCGGTGTGGCGTGGAGCCAGGGCCCCTGCAAAGAGCAGACAGCCGGGCTCACTCCTGCTCCTGCACCATCCTTGGTGCCCTGCTCAGTGGACGGAGGGCCGAGCCAGCCCTGAGTCCTAGGAACGTTTTATCCTGGGGGGTGGCAGTGGTGTCCCGGCTTTTGGGGGTGTTGCTGGCTCCTGTGCTGATGTTTGGGCCACATTAGAAGCTAGTGTGCATCTCCACACTCATGGTATTTGTCACCTGGGCCCAGAATCAGTGGCCAAAAGCACACCCATGTGGTGGGTTGAGCGGTGTGGGGGCCCTGACTCCCTCTGGGCCTGCTTTCCTGGGGGCCCCTGGATTTGGGGGCCAGACACTGGGGCCAAGACTGGCTCTCTCCCAACCTAAAGGTGCGGGAGTTGCATGGAGTGCGGCCCTAGCTCTCTGTGTCTCTTGGAACCTGCTGAGGGCCCCATGGGCACCTGGGGGTGGCCAGGGCTTGTGCTGGCCGGTAGGTAGCTGTCGGGCCCAGGGTCCCAGTACCTCCCCAGCACTGACCCGGCCCAGCAGGAGGGGCCGCCTGCCGCCAGCAGCGCCGCCTTTGATCTGGGAGCCCGGCAGCTGGCTGTGGCGGCCCGGCCCCCACCGCCCCACGCCTCCTGCCACTGACAGCCGCACACCAGGGCCGGCCCGCCACATGGTGTCTGCCTTGTGTCCCTTCTCAGTGTCGGGGGAGGGGAGAGGGAACAAAACAGAACTTTTGGGGGAACTTCAAAGGTACACTTTAGTAATCAAAAAGAGCTCCCAAGTTTCCCATTAATGTTCAGCCTGTGTGTGGTTTTTGGATTTAAATAAAGAGTCAAAAGAGACAGGATAAAATATAGGCAGGTCCTCGGCTGAGGCCCGGGATGGTTCACAGACCCGGGCGGCTCCTGCCTTTGATGTCAGAACATTAATTATTAGAAGGTAGTTAACTGGCCATCAGAACCGGGCTCCGGGAGATGCTGGGGCTGCTGGCGGCCCCTGGCCTGTCCTTTGAAGTCCTTCCCCGGCCCGGGAGGCCACCCCGCAGCTCTGCACGCTGGGCAGCCATCCCAGCAGGCGCCCCACGCAGCTGGCACAGGGCACGTGGTCAGAGGCCTGGTCCCCTGGGCAGGACTGCGCCTGACAGTGGTCCCCCTGTGCCTGTCACCCTCCGGGGGGGGGCTCCCCTTCCTCCCAAGACCTGGACTGGACACTTCCTGGCGCCTCAGACGGCCTCAGGGTGGGTGTCAGTCTCGTCTCTGGCCATCCTGCTTCCTGGTTTATGGGCAGGGGCCTGGGAGGAACTGGTCATATGGAGAGCGGTTTCCCTGGCTGCCTGGCTGCCCTCTCCGCCCTGGGCATCTGCCCACGACGTCCCTCCAGGAGCAAACCCCACGGCCCCTCAGCTGCAGGCCAGGGTGCGGCATGAGCCTGTCCCCGCTGTGCCCTGTCCGCTTTGCAGACGCCCCAGGCCCCAGCCGAAGCCCCGCCACTGGGTCCGCTGGCAGACAGGGCAGCACTTCTGGGAGCGGTGGCAAGCAGGTGCCCTCCAGCTGTCTGTCCTGCTGTGTCTCAGCCAGACTGGACTCGGGGACAGACGGGGCCCAGCCTGCCAGCTGCAGTGGGGAATGGGGTGCACGGCACTCCTGAAACCTCCGAGCTGCCTGCACGGGGCCGAGGCCTCCCGCAGGTGGGCGGGGTCCTGGTTGGCGGGCCCTGTCCCGAGTGGGCTCAAAGGGCCCTCTGCAGGGTTAGCGCCCCTTTGGTCCAGGGCGTGCATCCGCCCCGAACTTGCTGACCTCTGGCTGTGCCGCCCTGGCTCCCCAGGGGCAGCTGTCAGGCCTGTGGGTGAGGAGCCCAGCCTTCACTGCAGTTCTTCGGGGACTCATTCCTTACCCACGCGATGCCCGGCCACGCTGCGGGCATGTGGGCATGCCCTCCCATCGTTCCGCCGCCCTCCCTCTTCTTTTAAACTCTCCTTTCCTCTGCTCCAGAGAGGGGCAGGCCCAGTGCTGGCCAGGCTGCGGGGCCTGCGTCTCTGCGAGCCAGTGTCCGGGCTCGGTGTCGGGCGGCCCCACCCGGAGCTGCCACAGCCCGCACGGCCGCCCGCCTGCGTGCCAGGGACTGCGGTGGGTCCACCCTGGCGCTCCCTCCAGGGGCGGCTGGCTCGGGAGTGACTCGGGAGGTTTGGCCGCTGTCCCTCGTGCAGTGATTCAGTGCAGCTCCGGGCCTCCAGGGGAAACGCTTTGCATTCCCTCTTACCCGACCATTGTCGGGGGCCGTCTGGCTGTGGGAGCGGCAGGGAAGGGAACAGAACCCTCCCAAGGAAGCTGGAAAGTCTGGGCTTGAGGTCACCTCCAAATAGTTTCTGCATTTTTTCTTGGGGTGTCATCACGTTCTGGAAAATCACTGTCAAGAAGATGAACCCTCAGAGGGCAGCGAGGCCTCTTCCGCCACGAGGGGCCCTGTGCCCAAATGGGCTCAGCCACTTGTGTGGCAGCTGCGGAGTGTCCCCCGACTGTCCGGAGACTTCAGGCCCACGTCTCGGCTGATGCCCGGCCGCTGGTCCTCTCTGTGTCCAGCACTGCGTGTGCTGTGGGGCTGAGGTGGCCAGGGCTCTCATGCCTTGTTCCCTCTGGGTCCCCTCCACGGCCTGTTCTGTGTGGCAGGGACTCTTTCTGAGGGTCCTGGTGGCTGTCCACAGCTCCCCACCTCTGAGTGGCCTGGTGTCAGTCTCGTGTTTGTCTGGTGCTGGCCCGTCACCCTGGGCCTCCCGGGCCCCTGGTCACTGTCCTCGAGCTGCAGCAGCCGCCCGCCACTGGGGTGGACCTGCAGATTCAGGCTGTAGAGGGCCGTTGTTAGGACGGCCGAGAAGGCTCTGGGCCCCATCATTCAGAGCCTACAACCTGGCCAGTGGCCCTGGGCACGAGATGTGAGGTTCATCTCGGGCCCCTTCCTGGACCCCGGGGCCATGGCCTCGGTCGTACTCGGGAGCTCACCCCATGCTCAGCACGTGGCTTCCCTCACGACTGCCACCTTGTGCGTTCTTTTTCCTAATGACGTCTCAGCCCAGACCTCTGCTCCCCATCCAAAAACATCTGCACACCCTCCTCGGATGGGAGCCATTGGTGACACCTGCCTGAGACCAGGGGACGGCCAAGGCAGGGACAGCACACGCAGCCAGAGTGCGGCTGGGCAGGGCCAGGGCTTGGCCTGGAGATACCAGCTTGGCCGCCTCTGCCCAGCGTGAGGCCTGTGGCCCTTTTCAAACCAGGAGGAGCTGCCAACCAACCGCCCCCCTCACCTCCCGTCCCGGCAGTGGAAAGCCAAGGTGAAGGTGTGAAGCCCAGCTGTTCCTTGTCCTTTGGTCACGTGGTGGCATTTCCTGCAGCCCAGGCACTGATGTCACATTGTCTTGTGGGACAGAGCCTGCCTGGGGCCATGTCGTGTCAGCAGCTCTGGGACTTGGCTGTACCCTGGAAGTACCGCAGGGACGGCGAGGCCAGAGTGGCCGCGTGCTCCCCGGCCGTGTCTGGGTTGGGGCCCACCGCCAGGTCGGGCTCAGCTCGAGGCCATGGCCGCATTCGCCCCGTTGCCACGTTCTCAGGGTGATGCATTGCCGGGGCCTCCTGCTGGAGCACCGGGCTTGGCATTGTGCGCACGGCCATCCACGCCCTGCCCTGCCCCCCAGGAGCCCGTGCTCAGCCCTGCTGGAATGCAGGCGCCGTGGCTGTGGGGGGCAGCCGGCGCCTGGCATCTTGTTATAAAAAGCTCTGGCGTAGAACTGCCTGTGGCGGCTGCAGGAAGGTTGTGGCTTTGAAGGGGCAGCCCCCAGGGGCCTTGGCCAGCCACCTAAGGGCTCTGCTGCCCAGGCCTGAGCCAGCCCTTCCTGGCCACTGCGCCACAGCACCCTGAGCCCAGAGGGGCTTCCTAACAGCCCAGGGCGAGCACGTGACCTGGCCATGTGCTTGGTGACTGGGACTTGCCAGAGTGCAATCCAGGCTTTGGTGTGGCTGGGGAAGGGCCGCCTGGAGACACCTGCAGGTGCACTGGGGCGGCAGGTCCCCGCATGCTGAGCAGCATGGGCCTGGCTGTCCCCAGGGCCAAGAGTCTGACCTTGAGCGCTGGTGGGGCTGTGGCCAGGCCGGCTGCACGGGAGGCTGCGGGAAGGGATGGTCAGAGGAGTGTGTTCCCAGAGCCTCCAAGCCCATCCTGGTCCTGGGCGGGAGGCAGAAGGTGGGCCTGCCATGCCGCAGCGGGGGTGGGGCAGTGCGGGGCGCAGGGTCAGAGGGCAGCTTCCCGGCGGCCCCTCTGGGAGGGAGGACAGGACCTGGTGTGAACACCCAGCAGGCCGCAGTGGCCTCAGCGCAGAGGTGCCGGCTCGGCTCGTGCATCACCGCCCGGAGGCGCCACACGCAGAGCAAGCCCTGCCTTGTAATTTCCGCCGACCTTGCTGCCAATTAGGAGTGACGCTGCCCCTTCCTGTGTCCCCAGGGTGGGCAGACGCAGGGCCAGGCTGCTCCCCTGGGGAGGGTAGGTGGGTCAGCTTGGCTGTGGGGCCAGCGGCTGGCAGGTTTTTGCCAAACCTCTAATTTGGGGGCTGCCACTTCCCCTGCCCCTCCCTTGGAGCCCTGACGTGGCCTGGACCAGGGCACTGCTCCCGAGGCTCCGAGGACCCTGATGGCAGGCAGCTCCCACGAAGACAGGAAGTGAGCGAAGGCAGCTGGGTGGCCGAGTCTCCCAGCAGGGACTGAGCCGAGACCCCAGGGCGGGCAGGAGGGAGGCCGAGGTCCCACACAGCCTGCTGTCCACGCCCCCCTGGGGACCTGCCCTGGCCACGGGCCTGACTCGGTGGGCACCTGGGACCTGCATCAACCAATTCTGCCCAGCAGCCGGTAGACCGGGACCCGGTGGTGTGCCACCCTGACCTGGAGGAGCTGCTCCAGGCCTGGCCCGAAGAGCTGCCTGACCAGTTCTTCGAGGTGACCGTGGATGACGTGCGAAGACGCTTGGCCCAGCTCAAGAGTGAGCGGTGGGTGTGCCCCGCCCCTCTGTCCCCTGCTTCACGACAGGCCCAGCGCCCACGCTCTGCAGCCCTCGGAGGGTGGGGGTCCAGGCAGGGGCTGCCTAGTCCTGTCTGCAAGCTCGTGTGGGGCCTCCACTCTGGCTGGGGAGACCCTGGACCTTCACCCACTCTTTCCACAGGAAGCGCTTGGAAGAAGCCCCTTTAGTGACCAAGGCCTTCAAGGAGGCTCAGATGAAGGAGAAGCTGGAGCGATACCCTAAGGTACAGGGGTGGGGGGGCGGGAGCTGAGCTGGTCCTCACCTGTGCCCACACAGCCCTGGTCACTACAGACCCAGTCAGCCTCGCCACTTTACGATGAAAACAAGGTCCATGTGTTTTACACGTGCTCCGGGGGGTCTCGACTGGGCCTCACATCCAGCCCCGGGGCCAGCGAGCTGCGGGCACAGCTCGGCCAGGAGTGTGGTGGGGTAGCAAATGCAAGGGGCCGCCCGCCCTAGTCCTGGTGTCGGCCCTGCCGGGGTCCTGGCCATGTGGCCCCAGGGTGCAGCTGCCTCCCTGCACCTAGGCAGGGCCTGCTGTCCTGACACCCACTTGTCCCGCTAGGTGGTCCTGAGGGTCCTGTTCCCTGACCGACACATCCTGCAGGGCTTCTTCCGCCCCAGTGAGACAGGTGAGAGGTCTCACCGGGCGTCCCGGGGGGCTGTGGCCTCTGAGCCCCCTGGCTCCTTCACAGCTGTGGGACTGGCCATCCGGCTCCTGGCTCAGGGAGGCAGAGGTTTTGGGTTGGCGGCAGTGGGCTCTGAGCTTTCAGAGTGCCCTGGTGACAGGCCACACACACCCGTTTGCTCTGGACACAGGGCCACCCAGAGGGAGGTGGGCCCATAGCTCCCCACACCCAGAAGCAGGGTCTCTGGCCTGGGGCTGCAGCTCACCTGAAGGAAAGCACCAATTTCCCCAATTCTGGGCAGGGTGAGAGGCCTAGAATTGGGGAAATGGTGCTTTCATGGTCCGGTGGAGCGTCGGTACTGTGGAAGGAACAAGCCTGAGTTCCTGCCCCTGGGGCTGGGGATCGCCTGAGGGTGGGCCGTGTCTCAGATGCCCAAGCCTGAGGAGGTCGGGCTCTCCAGGGCTGGTGGCAGGGCCGGGCCAGCCAGGGGGCCGGGCCTGGGGAAGGGCCTTGCCCCTCCGTGCAGCGGGCAGCGCTGGGCGCATCGGGTGAGGCCTGCGCCCTGTCCTTCCTCCTCAGTGGGGGACCTGCGGGACTTCGTGAAGAGCCACCTGGGGAACCCCGAGCTGCCCTTCCACCTGTGTAAGTGCTGCCCCCAGACCTGCTTGCGCCTCCGCCTCCCCATCGGGACGGTGTGGGCCGCTCTCCAAGCACCAGTCCGGGACCGTTGCCCCGACTCGGTGCCTGTGCCCTCTGCTGCCAGCCTGCCTCCCGGGGTCTGGGAGCTGTGTGGATGGGGGCGCTGGCCAGCCTTGGCTGGCACCTGGGTGGTGAGAGCTGGGGTACCTGCTGGGGCCTGCCCCCCCAGTCCCCTCACCTGGGTTTTACCACAGCAGAGAGGTGGGCAGGGGGCTGTGGGCTCTCGGGCAGTCTTCCCTGGGGACCAGTGAGGGGTGAGGGGCGAGGCCTTCCTCACAGACAGGTCTCTCCACAGTCATCACTCCTCCGAAAACCACCCTGGAGGACCACACGCTGACCCTCTTCCAGGTACTGGCTGCCGGGGGTGGGGGGGGTTGGACTGCTGGGGCGTCCCTGCAAGGCAGGGCCAATGTCAGCGGGCTCACAACCCTGTGGGAAGGGCCTGGAGGGTGCAGGGTGCCTCTGGAGTTGGGCCTGGGGCTGCTGAGGCTCCTGGCCTGGGTCTGAGCAGAGGGACCCAGAGGCAGGGCAGCTGGGACAGTTCCTGAAGGGTCAAGTGTCAGAGCCTCACTGTGGGTGGCTGCTGCCCAGGAGGCCCTGGGTGCTGGCTGCTGGGCAGGTGTGGCCCCTGCTCCTGGGTCTGCTGCCGGCCTTTTCCCTGCCCCTGCCTCCCTGCTGGGCCCTCCCTCCTGGCAGCCTCCTGCCCGACCCCCTGCTGGCCCCAGAGTCCTGGTGAGGCTGAGGAGTGTTGATCCCGCGCCCTGCTGGGCCGCCTTCCAGGGCTGGGAGGCATGTCCTGTCCCTTCGCCTGGGAGGGCAGCCTGGGGCCTCCCCAGCCCCGGGCCTAATGGTTTCCTCTTCAAAGTCTCCTCAGATATTTTAATTGCTAACAGAGGCCAGCCCTTGTTAAGTGGCCTGCAGGCCCTGCGAGGTCTGAGCTGGGGCTGCCTGGCTGTGGGGCGATGGGACAAGACCAGGCAGGGAGCTGGATGCTAACCAAGGAACGGAGCCCGGCCCCCTCCTCGCCCCTCAGCCCGGGAGCCCCGGAGGCGCTGGGCTCCTTCCTCCACGCCCGCCGCCCAGCCAGCCTGTCGACACACTGGGCTTGGAAGGTGCTTTGAGACGGGACCAGCTCCCAGACCCCCAATCAGGAGCCCTGGTGCTGCCTGTCCCGCCCACTCGGCCTCATTCCTGCGACACTGCCCAGCTACCAGCAGCCGTCTCCTTTCATCCGGCAGCCTGGCTGGAGCTGCGGGGCCTCCATGAGGGGCGGTGGCCCTGCCCGAGATCAGAGCTGGCAGGGCCCAGGGAAGGGAGCCTCCCGCCCCCTCGGCGAGCGCGGAAGCCCAGCTTTCATGTCCCTGGCAGGGCTGGACTCCGGCTGCCGGCGGCCCGGGGCGGCCCGTGTTCTAGGGGCAGCTCCGGGTGGGTGGGGGACGGCAGCCCAGCTGCCCCTCTTGGCTGCTGGACCAGGGTGTGGGGGAGGCCGGGGTGTGGGGGAGGCAGGCAGTGGGCAGAGGCCCCTGTGCCTGGCGGCAGACCTGCTTCCTGGGCCTGAGCCCGTGGTGCTGGAGCTGCCCCTGCTCCGTCTCGGCCCAAGACCTGCCACAATCCGGGGGACCCCCAGCCTGAGCAGAGGGGTGGTCCCAGTCCTCTGTGCAATTTGGCTGGGAGCCCAGAAACACAGACCAGTGAGGGGGCCTCTGGCAGGTGCCGAGGGGAGTGACCCTTCCAGGCTTCAAGGCCTGCAGCCCCCAGGTGACCCTGCCCCACGGGTGGGCTTGGACCAGGCCCCATGCCAGGGATGTGCTCCCACGCGGGGCTGTGAGGTGGTCCCAGCATCTGGTGGCTCCACTGAGGCTGGGCCTGGCCGCCCTGGGAAGGGCGGGGCACTCTCCTCCCCGCGCCCCCTTCCTGCTTCCTGGGCACCGCTGACGTAGCCACAAGCCTGGATCAGGCATCACAGCCTCGTCTGTGTCCTTCAGTGTGGCTGTGGTCTCAGCGTTCCTAGGCCTGGCCCTGAAGCTTCTCATGAATACCCCACCTCGACTCCCAGGGTTCGGAGTTCAAGCCGTGCTCAGCTGGCAGGTGTGGCCCCTTGCATGAGGGCTAGGACCCAGCCTCCGGGGGAAGCTTTGGGACCGCAGCCACGGTCTTCGGGTGCAGGAGTTGGTGGGGCTGGTTGCAGGTTGGGACACTGGGGCTCAGGCTGTCACCTGCAGCTCTAGCTCTGCACCAGGGGCTTGTCTGGGCTGGGTGACCCAGCCCTGTCCCGCACCTGTGCACGTGGGGTCAGCCCCTGAGCAGAAACCCCTTGCCACCACCCTCACAGGTGGGGGCTTAGGAGAGGCACAGTTTCTGGACTCCCAGGCAGGGGACACCCTGGTGCAGAGCCTGCCTGTCAGAGGGGCACATGCTGTCTCAGCCAGGGCACCCAAGCCTGGCGCTCAGGGTCGTGGCTGTGCTCAGGCAGCAGACCAGGGGGCCTCTGACCCTGGGCTCCCGGGCAGCCGAGGGCCCTCCCAGCAGTCTCCTTCTAGTTCCTCAGTGGGCCTGGGTGCTTCTCTCCACCTAAGGGCGGCCCCTCCCCAGGCTCTTTGTACTTCAGGCAACACGGCTGGGGGAGGGGAGGGCAGGGCGCTCAGAGTAAGAGCTGGTGGCACCCTTGCCTCATGCTCCCCCGACCTCCCTCCCCCACTCCCCTCCACGCAGTTCTGACCTGTGGGCTCACTGCAGCCCCTCCTGGAGCAGGCACCCAGCCTGACTGCTTACTGCGTCCCCAGAACTGGCACGGTGGGAAGAGGTACCAGATGCCTGTGCCACCCTGGCCAGTTTGGCTCGCGGTTAGAGCCCTGGCCTGTGGTCCGATTTCTGGTCAAGGGCACGTACTCGGGTTGCAGGTCTGATCCCAGTTCCAGTCAGGGTCGGACAGGGGGCAAGCAGTCGGTGTCTCTCACATCAGTGTTTCTCTCTCTCTCCTTTCCACTCTATCTAAATATCAGTGGAAAATGTCCTCAGGTGAGGATTAACAAAAATTTTTAAAAATAAGTAAAGTAGCCCGGCCACTGTGGCTCAGTGGTTGAGTGTCAACCCTGCACCAAGAGGTCGCTGGTTCGATTCAGTCAGGGCACATGCCCAGGTTGTAGGCTGATCCCCAGTGGGGGGACGTGCAGGAGGCGGCACTCGATGTTCTGTCTCGTCGATGTTCCTCTCCTTCTCCCTTCCTCTCTCTAAAGTCAATGAAGAAAAAATCACAAAATGAAGCGAAGCACTGCACACAGCACAGGGGCTTCCTGCCCGGCGGGAGCTGGGCGCTGGCCCTTGCTCCCACGTTCGAGGGCAGGCCTGGCTTGCAGGAGCCCTGGGGGCTGGGCAGCAGCCTGCGGCGGTTGGAGGGGCTGGTGAGGGCCTCCAGGCGCAGCTCCCACAAGGCCACCATGGGAGTGGGGTGCAGCCCACCCTGCCAGTCTCTGCCCACAGTGCCCACCTGGCCCCTGAGCTCCCCACTGCCCTTCCTGCAGGCAAACCTCTTCCCTGCTGCTCTGGTGCACTTTGGAGCTGAGGAGCCAACAGGTGAGTGGGGGCCCTTCGCTCTGCTCCCCACCACCAGCCCCCAGCATCCCAGAGCGGGGACTTTCTGTGGGTCTGAAAGGGAGACCTGTGGCTTGTTCCCCGTGTATATACACTGCCCCTGGGGGCTACAGGACAGCCACCTGCCCGGGCCGGGCCCCTTCCTCCTCCTCCATGGCCTAAGGGTGGGCTGGGCCTCCTGTAGATGTCTACCTGGAGCCGAGGCTGCTGGAACACACCGTCCCCCCATCTGCAGCTGATGTGCTGGCGACCAGGCGAGTACCTGGGCTAGACGGGAGTGCCGGGTGGGAGCACCCACACTGCAGTGCTCACAGCCCTCTGCCTCTGCCTTCCCCCAGGTGCATGTCCAGGGCCGCTGTGCCCCCACCCCTGCTGCCAGCCCCCGGCCCCATGCCCCTTGAGTTGGAGACAGCTGCTGAGGAGGGTGCAGTGGGGCCCCCTGAGCCCAGCCCTGGGACAGCCCAGCCCTTGAGGAGGGATCTGGGCAAGGTGCCCAAATGGCTGAAGCTGCCAGGTACTGTGGGGGCAGCTGGGCTGAGAGGGGCTGCTGGCGGGAGCCCAGGGCCCCAGGTCATCCTGGTATGTTGATTACAGCCAGCAAGAGGTGAGAGCCACCAGCTGGAGGTGCCCACTTGGCCAGTGACAGGACCCCTCCCCACCCTGAGTGTGAATAAAGACTCCAGCATCTCCGAGATCGGCTAGTCATCTTCCTCCAGAAGAGGGCCCAGCAGCCCTCTGCCGCAGCAGCCCTCCGGATGCTGCCCGCCGGTCCCGAGCTCCCAGGCACAGGCCCGTGGCCACCCTGGCCCTGGAGCTGGCCGGTCCAACAGCCCGGGTCCCCTTGCTGCGGCCTTGCTCTCATTCACAAGGGCACAGGTGTCCTCCCTGCTGCTTCCTCTTGGCTTTTACCTAATTGCCATCATTAATTACCCTCCTCGGAGAACACAAGTGTGGGGACAGGGCCTCCAGGCACGGCCTGCCTGGCACGGGCAGCACCCTAGCCCCTGGCACGGGTGGGGCTGGCAGGCCTGGCCTGGGGTTCCCCGCCCGCCCTCACCCTCTGAGGCCTTCCAAGGGGGCACAGGCTCTGGCACTTGTCGCCACCTCTCCCTCGGGTCTGATGACTTCCACATGCTCCCCGCGCTTTGAAGCCCAGATTCCCTGAGGCAGCGGGGGAGAGGAAGGTGGGGGCAGAGGCGGGGAAGGGGTGCAGGAAGCGGCCAGCGGGCCAAATTAGGTATAGAGGGCTTGTCCCCCAGCGCATGCCATACTCAGGTGTGGAGGTGGGAGCCGAGGCTTTTCTGGTCCCCCTGGCAGGCGGGGTGGCTCAGCAGGGCAGCCACTGTCCCGCCCGGATGTCTCCAGAGGGCCATGTGCTGTGCACAGCTCCATGTCCAGTCCCTTGGCCCAGAGCCCTCTGGGTGTCTCCCATCCTGGGCACTGCTGAAACAGCTTCCGGGATTAAAGAGAGGTGGGTGCCGCAGGGCCGGGAGGGTGAGGCTGGGGGTGGCCAGGCCCCAACAGAACAGCCCTGGAGGCCCCTAAGCATCAGAGGGCAGCCAGACCTCCCAGATCCAGCTTCTAGCTGGTCCCACACAGCAGTCTCCCACGTAGGTGTGGCCTGGGATTAACCTGCCAGTCCCTGGCACTGCTGTGGGCCAAGGTCATGGTCTCCATGTCTGTCCAGTCCCCAGTCGGACCCCCCCCCCCCCAAGGCCCTGCCCACACCGACATTCCAGGCAAGCACGTGGCCATGTGCAAGGGCTCCGACCTCAGCCCTGGCGGGCCCAGGCACGGCACGCACACATGCGGTCCGTTCGGTCCTTTCTCAGCTTTGCATTTGTCCTACCAAGACGAATGGGGAGAGCCGGCTTTGAAGCAACTTGACTTTGGGTGATTAATGGCAACACAGAGGCTTCGCCTGGGAGAAGTGGCTTTGATTTATTGATGTTGCTCTGTGAGAACAAATTTATAGCTCAGGGAAGCATCTCTGAGGGAGCAGTGAATGTTAGGAGGTTACCCACAGCTTTGATGTCAGTGGCAGGACTGGTCCCCGCTTCTGCCTGCCACGGGCCTGGCTCCCCACACAGCGGTTCAGCAGCTTTGTCCAAGCCATCAGCAGGGCAGAGGAGGGCAGGGGGGACAACAGTGCGTTTGCAGGGACCTGGCCCAGGTTCGGGGTGGAGGGGCGTCTGGGGATCAGCAGCCCCTTCCCTGTCTGAAGCCGGAGACCACGGAAGACACGTGGACACGGGGCTGGGTTGTGAGTCGGGCAGGTGGCCTCAGTGAGGGGGGAAACCCCTAGAAGTCCAGAAGCTGTGGGGAGAGGAGACGGAGCCTCGAGCGCCAGCCCACCCCACACCGCAGCCTGGCCCTGCTCCCGGAGGGCGGGACGGATGCCCACCAGGGCCACCTACCAGCTGCGGCAGCACCTTCTCCAGTTGGTCCACATCCACACAGGCCAGGTCCTCCGCCTGGGCCTGCCTGACACTGCGGATGGCTGCTTCTGCCAAGACGGGGAGTAAGAGGGTTAGGGCTGGAGCCTTGAACCCCAGCTCCCGAGCCTCTGCCCCACTGCGGTACCACAGCTCAGAAGGTCAAGGTGTGGCCCCCGAAACAGGCAGTTTCCTAGGGGGACAGCCTAAAGGGCCTGTGAGAAAATGGGGAAACCTCCATCCTGGTGTCCCTACTGGGAAGTGAAATGCAGGAGACGCGAGCCCAGGACCCTCGGCTCACCCACGACGAAGACCCTCAGCAGCTCCGCCACGAGCAGCAGTGCGTCCCCGCTGACTGCAAGGCGGAGGGAGCGGGTCAGAGGGATGCGCCCGCCCCGCTGCCCCACTACCCCGCGGGCTGCTGCCCCCACCCCCACCCCCACTTCCAGGTGCATTCTCAGCCCCTGCAGGGCTGGCAGCCCGCCCACCCCACCCCACCCCAGCCCAGGCTGGTCCCACACCTTTGGTCTTGTCGTCCCTGAAATGCAGGCGCAGCAGTTTGCTCACCAGTTCCTGGGGGAGCAACAGGACAGTGAGTCATGGCCCTGTCCCTGCCTCTGCCCCCACCTGACTGCCACAGACCCCTTAGGAATCTGCCCGGGAAGGGGTTGATTTGTGGCCTAAATGCCCACTGTTCCCTGGGGCCTCTCCAGTGAGGGACTGGGTGGTGGGAGAAACGTCCCTGGGGCACCTCCAAGATCGGAAGTTAGGCACAGGTGGTAGGCAGCGGGGAGCAGCCCAGGTGCCAGCCCGCCCCTCTGGGACTCCAGTTTTCCTGGAACCCAGGGCAGCCTCATGCTCCACCCACCCCTGGACCAAGGCACTGCCCTCCTTGTGTGGCTGGAGGTGGCCGCTCCCCATGGACCCCTTCACAGATCTGTCCACACCGCCGCTGCCATCCCCACGGAGCTCGTGGCAGATCCTGCTCTGGTGCTGGGTCAGCTCCACCCGCAGTCCCTCCCTGCAGCCTATGACTCGAGGTGCCAAAAGGAATCTTCCTATAACAGGATGCTGCAGAGGGCTCGGTCAGGGGTGGTCAGGAGCAAGAATCAGAGCACGGGTGTACTTGTGGGACTTCCTGACAGACATGAATAGGACATGGGCAGGTCCAGGCCAAGAGCCAAGGCAGGGGCTTGAGCCCCCAAAGGATGGGGCCACTTTGCTGAGATGAGGGCTATGGATGGAGATGGGTTCTGGGGACCAGGAACTCAGGAGCGGAGCTTGGGACATACATCAGACACCAGAGCAGAGCAGCCAGGTGGGGCTGGAGCTGAAAGGCCTTCCAGAGGCAACTGGCAGCCAGGACGCAGGATGTGGCAGCACGTGGGTGGACCATGCAAGGCTGCCAGAGCAAGGGCCAGCCAGAAGAGGCTGCAAACCAGAGGCCAGCAGAGTGCCCAGGGAGGCCAGAGGACAGCACTGACAGGCGCCCAGGAGCTCAGAAACAAAAATCAGAGTGTCCTGCAGGGAAGATGAGCTGGAGACTGCCCAGCCTCCAGCCTTAGCCACAGGAGATTGCGCTGCTTCACCCAGTGCAGCTCAGCAGAGCCCAGGAGCAGAGTGGAATGGACATGGATGGGGCCCAAGCTCAGAAGGATAAGAACTTGCCACTGGTCACTAGGTGAAGCTACAGTGGCCTCACCCTCCCAACAGTGACCGTGTGAGCTTGGTGCCACCTGCTGGTCATTCTTGCTGCGTACCAGGAAAGGCCCAGGAGGCTCTACTGCCCCACCTGCTCCGGGACCCCCAGGAAGAACTAAATCAGCCCAGCTGCTGCATCGAGGGAGCTGCTGCATGGAGTTTTCCCAACAACTAAAGGGGTCATCACCAGCAGGAAGTGGCAGCTCCCTACACAAACAAGTGACATGAACTGGAAGATGGGATAGGACCTGGCATGATTTCAGCCTTTGCCTCACTTCGAGTAGGCACCACAGCCTTCACCGAAGACAGCCCTGTTCAAGGTCAGTGACCACAATCCCAGCTCTGGCCAGAGCCCTTGGCTGGACAACTCCAGAGCTGTCCAGGCCGGCAGGATGGAGGACAGCCCTGTGCTCCCCTCTCCAGTTGTTACAATGGGCAGGTCCTCACAATCACCCTGCTGGGTCACCCCTGCCTCGCTGATTTTCCCTTTTAGGTTATTAACCCCTCTGGCCCAGGGCAGAGTCATGATCTTGGGTGACAAAGGAGAAGAGGGGGCTGAGGCAGAAGGTGAATCAGAGGGAAGTCCCCCATGCCTCTACAAGGCTGACACCCCCACTGGGCGCTGGGGAGTGGGGGGACAAAGAAGAGCTCATAACGAGCTGAGACCCTCTTTCCCTCTCTCCCCGGGTCACAAAGGCCCCCCACGGGCCCTCCCGGCACACCTTCCTGATTCAAGGGCTCAGTGCCTCCTCGCCTTAGGTCAGAGCGACAAAGCCAGACTCAGAAATGAGTCCCAGGGCCAGCCGCACGTGCCAGGTGCAGAGCAAACGGAGACCCCAGCGCTGTCTGTGTCTGCGGCTAAGTGGGGAGAGCGCCGGCACCCACATCGCAGGGCGGCGGAGCCCCACGTGGGTTATCGGTGTCGAAGGCACACAGCGGTGCCTGACGTGCCAGGTGCTATCGGCGAGGCACCTGCGGAGTCCCAGACACCAGGCTGACCCCAGACAACGGCGCTACCCCGAAATGCCTTGCGGCTGGGCCTCGGCTGGGCTTGCGGGGCAGGGACAGGCGAGGGGAGCGTCAGGCTGTGCAGCGACGGGACACTGGCGGCGAGCGGACCTGTGCCTGCGCTGAGCTGTTTGCGCAGGTCCCGCCGGATCCCCGGCATCGCGTTCCCGCACTGACGTCGGCGCGGCGCCCACCTCTCCTCGGCGGCTGCTGGTCCCTGGCCTGCCGGGCCGGGGCTGGGCCCGCCGTGCTCACCCGAAGCCGCTCCGTCGGCCCAGGGGCGGGGCGGGGCGCGGCGGGGCGCGGCGGGGCGCGGCGGGGCGCGCGGGCCGGGGTTTCAGCCGGATTCTGGGAATGCGCTAAAAGGCACGCACGCGCAGCGCGGGGGCCGGCTCAGGGCCCGGCCGTAGGGTCCCCACCGTCCCATCCCCTCGGTGCCTGCTGACCTCCAACCCCCACTGCCCACTTTCTCACCTTGGGGAAACAGGGGCCGACTCCCTCCATGACCACCGCCGCCGCCGCCGCACGCGCTCCTCAAAGACCCGCCAATGAGCCCTGAGCGCGCCCTGCTGGGCCCCGCCCCCGCACGCGCCCCTCCAGCCAATTATACCAGAGCGCGCCCTCCGCAGTCCCGCCTCCTCCCCCTTTCATTGGCTCGGAGCGCGTTGCCTCGGCTCCTCGGGCTGGCGTCCCGCGGCGCGCGCCCGCCCCTTCACTCTCATTGGCCAATGACTAGCGCTTTTCCTCCGCGAAGCCTCTTGGGAGTTGTAGTTCCGTTAGCTGTTCCCGGCTTACCCTGCTCTTCCTGGATACTGAGGCACCGCGGCGGGCAGCAAGGGTCCGCGGCGCGAGGGCTGGGCCCCGGCGTACGCGTGACGCCCGGACTGGCCCCGCCGCGAGAGGGCCCGGACGCGAGGGTCCTCGTCCCCGCGCCAGCCGCATGCTCGGGGGTTCCCTTGGCCACGACCCACCTCCTGGGACCTCCCACCTGTAGAACCCACTCTGTTTGTTCCCGGTCCCTCGGCTCCGGAGGTCGGACCTGGGATCGCTGTGCCCACGCGGGGGCGCTCGGTGGGCTCCCAGGGAGAGGGGCCGGGCAGCCCCCGGCCCCGCTGGCGCACGGTGCGGCCTGGCTCCGGGGGCGCACGGAGGCAGCCCCGCCGGCAGCGCAGGGGCATGGAGGAGCTGCGGAGCTCCTACAGCCGGCTGTGCAGGGAGAGTGGGGCCGAGCCCCAGGAGGCCGTGCTGCAGCAACTGCACGAGCTGCCGCGGGGTCGGCTGGACCTGGCCACGCAGAGCCTGACCCCAGACACCTGCAGGGCCCTGGGCAAGCTGCTGCAGAAGGAGGTGCACCTGACGGACCTGGTCCTGAGCGACTGCATGCTGAGCGAGGAAGGTGGGCTCCGTAGTTAAAGCAAGTAGCAGGGTCCCTTGAAGCCTGAGAGCAGAGCATTGTCTCTGTAAAGGAGAAGCCTCAGGAGGGTGCAAGGATGCTTGCTGCTGGTGAGCGGGAGCGTTGGTGGCCTGGCTCCGCGCTGGGCAGAGGTTGTAGATGTTTCAAACTTGGCACAGTGAGGGGGCTACCCGTTTGTGGCATGAACCCTGACTGATTAGGGGGCCACTGGGATTGAAATCCCTCCCCTGTGTCTGGGGAGGTGTCCCAAGATGGGGCCTCTCGAGAGAGCCCAGGGCTGCAGAGGCAGAATGTGACTGCCCTACCCCCTTATAGGGGCCACACTACTGCTCCATGGTCTATGTGCCAACACTGTCCTGCGGTTTCTGGATCTGAAGGTGAGGGGACCTGCCATGAGAATGGGGAGGATGTGGGTGTCCCAGTGACCTGGGGTCTGAGCGTGTGTCTCGTAAGTTCTGTTGGCACACAGGACTTTGTGCTGTTTTCTGATGATCTTGAGCACTGAGTGTGTCTGTGTGTGTGTGTGTGTGTGTGTGTGTGTTGTGAGAGCGGGAATGTGAGTTTCAGAGTGTTCCCATAAGCAAACTGAACCAGCCAGCACCAGGAGGCCCACTTCGGTCAGGACCAAGCCTCACCTATCTGCCCAGAGCCTGGCCTCATCCACTGACTGACCAGGGACCTGTAGGGTGTGCAGGAGCCGGGGACCATGGGTCTGCCTCTTCCCATCCTAGGGCAACAACCTTCAGGCCACAGGCGCCAAGGCTCTGGGGAAACTCCTCCGACAGAATAAGTCCATTCAGAGGTAAGGTGGCGTCCTGGACCTCTGTCCTTCCCCCAGCCCTCTCTTTCTCTGCACGGATCAGGACTGGCCCCAGAGGACTGGGTTTTGCCACCTGAGCATTCAAGCCTTCCAGCCAGTTGTCTATGTTTCCTGTCCGTCTTCGGGGTTAGGTGGGTACAAGTTACTCGTGTGGCTCCACACTTCCTGCCAGAGACCTGGGCCCTCCTCAAGCCCCCGACCCCTTGCGAGCAGGTGCTCCTTAAGCCTTGCATGTGCACCCTTCCCTCAGCCTCACCCTGGAGTGGAACAACCTGGGCGCGTGGGAAGATGCCTTCACCACCTTCTGCCGGGCCCTGGCAGGCAACGTCGCCCTGCGGCAGCTGGACCTGCGCAACAACCAGATCAGCCACCGGGGCGCGGAGGAGCTGGCCCTGGCCCTGAAGAGCAACGCCAGCCTCCAGCAGCTGGGTGAGGCCCAGGACAGCCACCTTGGCCAGGCGGCTTGCTCCCTCAACCCTGCCGCCTCTCTTTGTCCTGTCCCAGAAGCCAGGGGCTGGGGTCAGGAGGATGGGTGAGCCTCTCTGGGTCCCTGCTCTGTTGGTGGTCCCCCAAAGGAAGCATCCTGGCGTGGCCAGCTCCCCAGGTGACAAGAGGTTTCCTTCCAGACCTGCGCTGGAATAACATCGGCCTCCTGGGCGGCCGGGCCCTGGTGAACTGTCTCCCCAGCAACAGAACCCTGTGGAGGTTGGAGCTGGCTGGGAACAATGTCCCCAGTGACATCCTCAGAGCCGTGGGTACGGGCACACTGTTTCACACAGGGCATGAAGCTGACAGGGCATCGAGTGGCAGAGGTCCCGCCTCCAAGGGAAGAAGGTATCCCAATGGCAGCCTAAATTAAAGACAGAGAGTGAGAGTCACTCCTGGAAGATGCTCGTTCGGTTCTTAGATCCCCAAGGTCGGACAGCCATTTCACCGATGATGAAGTCGGGGCAGTGTGGCTTGGGGCCTTGCCCTGATAGCCTTGAGTGGCATCTGCCCTGTTATCAGACATGAGCCACATAGGAGCATGGCCACCAGGTCCACACCACACTCTACACGCCCCCTCCCCTCCCGTCGGTGATGATGGCACCTCGGCCCCAGGCCCAGCAGAGTATTCTGTCACTCCCTGTAGCTCGTTGTCCTGCCAGCCACCAGAGGGCCCAAGCTTGGGCTAGAATCCCGCACAGCTCACCACCTCCTGCTGGGTCTGCCTGACCCATGTCTTCTCCAGCTTCTTCATTCTTGGCCTGCTGCTGGGTCACACCAGCTGTTGTAATCATCTCTGACACCACGGCCACTTCTGGCTGATCCCTCTCCAAATGCTGCCTGGGTTTTTCACAGGAGCCAAACACAGCAGTCACCTCTTAAAAATCATACAGTGCCCTAGCCGGTTTGGCTCAGCGGTCAGAGCGTTGGCCTGCGGACCAGAGAGTCACGGGTTCGGTTCCCGCTAAGGGCACGCGTACCTCGGTTGCAGTTTGTCCCTGGCCCTAGTTGGGGTCGTGTGGGTGGCAACCGGTCGATGTGTCTCTGTCACGTCAGTGTTTCTCTCTCTTTTTCTCCCTCTCTTCCCCCCGCTCTATTTGAAGATAAATGCAAAGATGTCCTTGGATAAGGATTTAAAAAATAATAATAGTACAGTGGCCTTTGACCTTTGGGATGGAGGCCATATGCTCCTCCCCATGTGTCCCCCACCACACACCTGATGCCTCCTGGGCTCCTGGTCCCACTTGCCCCCCACACCCATGCTCAAGCCCTTCAGTGCCCTTGGGGTCTGCGTGACTGTGGGTGAGACATCGCCTCGCATCGTCCTGATCCTCAGGCTTCTGACCTCCGGGCATATGCCTGGCTGCTCTTTGGCCACTCCCAAGACTGAGCAGCTCCTGGTAGGTAACTCAGCTCCTTCCGACAGAGCAAGCCATGGACCACAACCAGGACCGGGAGGCCACCCTCCGGGAGAACCAGGCCCGGGCTCGCGTGCTCAGCAAGGAGGTGCGGCACCTGCGGGAAGAGAAGTCCAAGCAGGTGAGCACAGGGCCACCTCTGGCAGCAGCCTCACCCCAGCTCCTGGCTACGTGGACGAAGGGCCCTCCTTGCCCGTGCCCCAGCCTTCTTCCCTTTCTCTGGGCCCTGGACCCTCTCCAAGCAGCTGACGCCAGGCCCTGGAGCTGGTTTCATGGTCTGACCCCCTGTGCAGAGCCATGCTTCCTCTGTGTACTGCCCTGTAGTCTCCCTCCTGCCGGGCCCGGGCCCTGACGGGGCTCTGGCCATCTCTGTTCCCAGTTTCTGGACTTGATGGAGACCATCGATAAGCAGCGAGAGGAGATGGCCAGGAGCAGCAGGTGAGCGGGACTGCGAGATACAGAGCTGGGATGCCCGTTCGGGGCGTAGCTCCGGGCTCGGGGTGACCTGTCCATGATTGGGGTCGTGGCACATGCGTGCCAGGGAAGTTGGCTCGAGGTTGCAGGCAGCACCGAGTGGTGCTCCTCAGCCCGGGGCCTGCAGAGGTGGGAACAGAAGAAAGGCCGCTGCTCCAGGACCCGGGGCCGCAAGGGCTCTGCGTTCCTCGCACCCTCCTCTCTGCCCGCAGGGCATCGGCAGCACGTATGGGTCAGCTTCAGGAAGCCCTGGATGAGAGGCACTCCATCATCAATGCCCTCAGAGCCAAGTGAGTGCATGGTGGGCAGGAGACATGCCCACAGGACAAAGGAGGGGTCACAGACAAGGACCTGCGTTCCTTGTGTATAAAGCGAAGGTGGGAAACGGCTCGGTGATGACCCCGGAAGGTTTCTTGCAGGAGGGGAATGGCAGTCTGGCAAGGATGAGAGCAGGAGGCCTTTGCATGGCTGAGGTGGGGCTGGGGTGGGCCCGGCCTTCTTCTCCTTGCAGGCTGCAGATGACCGAGGCTGCCCTGGCTCTGTCAGAGCAGAAGACCCACGACCTGGGGGAGCTCCTGGCCACCGCGGAGCAGGAGCAGCGGAGCCTGGCGCAGAGGCAGGCCAAGGAGCACCGGCTGGCGCAGCAGGTGAGGGGGCAGGGGTGGGCTCAGAGAGCAGGCAGCCTGCGGGGGCCGGCGGCCAGACTGGTGGTGCCCTTCCCTGTGTCATCTCTAGGAAGCTGCAGAGCGGGAGTCTAAACTGCTCAGAGACTTGTCTGCTGCCAACGAAAAGAATCTGCTTCTGCAAAACCAGGTACGGGGGTGCGGGCCAGGCCCCCGGAGCCCAGGGCAGGTGCAGGCTGGGCCCGCACTGCCCTTCCATGGTATTGGCTCTCCAGGTGGATGAGCTGGAGCGGAAGGCGAAGTCACAGCAGGACCAGCTGTTCCTGACCAGGCAGGAGCTGATCAACACGTCGGCCGAGCTGAAGATGCGGGCTGTCCAGGCGGAGGGTGGGCGCGTGCAAGGGCCTGGAGACGGCGGCCCAAGGATGGGTGGGTGTGAGTCCTGGGACAGGGGACTCCGGAGGAGCTACTCCATGAGCCCTGTGCTTCCAGAGCACCTGGAACTGGAGAAGAGACGGTCTCGGCAGAGCCTGGAGGACTTGGAGCATCTGCGTGTCAAGGAGGTGCCTCTTTCATGACATCATCTGGCCTTGTGCTCTCCCCACTGTCCGCCTGGGCCCGCACACACCTCAGTGTGGCATGGTGTCCCCTCCCCCGCCTGAGATGCTGGGCGGTGGCCCTGCATCGGGCCACAGCGCAGGCTGTTTCATGTTCCATGCCACCCAGGGCTGGTGCTGGGACATGCCCTCCATCTTCACTTCCTGAGAAGCCACTCAGGGAAGCCCCTTGGAAGGAACTGGGTACCCAAATGTAGCTGCCTGCCAGGGTCGGGATCCCATGCGGGGAAGGTGAGAGCCAGCCTGACATCCCTGTTCCGCCCGGCACGTGGGCAGGTGGAACACATGACTCGCCACCTGGAGGAGAGCGAGAGGGCCATGCAGGAGAGGGTCCAGCGGCTGGAAGCGGTGAGGCTGTCCCTGGAGGAGGTGAGCACATGCGGGCTGGCTAGATACCCCATCTGTGGTCTCAGCCTTGTCAGGCCCCCTTGGGGACCCACCCATGAGACCAGAGGGACTTAGAGAGGCAGCATGGGGCTCTCTGGGCCGTGAAAGCCGTGCCCAGTGAGCAGGCCCTCGGGAGGCTGGTGGAGGGCCAGAGGCAAGGCCCAGTGGTGTGGTGCAGGAGCTGAGCCGAGCGAAGGCAGCAGCACTCAGCGAGCGCAGCCAGGCCGAGGAGGAGCTCATCAAGGCCAAGAACCAAGTCCGCCTGGAGGAGGTGAGTCCACGGCCATGGCCAAGAAAGGGCCCAGCCCATTGCTCACAGCACCCAGCAGGGAGCAGGGCCTGAGGTGGGCGACTCCAGGCCTGTCTCCATGCTCTGCAGAGGGAGGTGGGTGGGGGTGGGGGACAGGAGCTCCAGGGGTGTAGGCAGTGGGGAAGACTCAGAGCAGGACCCTTGTGCCATTGGCACCACGTCCAGTCCTCCACAGAGCCACTGTCATCCAGCCCTGAGGTTGGGAAGGGGTTTGGCCATCCGTGCTCCAGAGGGCAAGATGGAGTCGGCCTGGGAGATGAGGGTGGGCAGCCAGGAAGCGGTGCCCTACCCGGGGTGCATTCAAGATGAGCTTGTTCAGAATAAATGTAACGAGTGAAGGCACTTTCCACATTGCAAATAAAAGCTCCCCTGGTCAAAGCAGAGCGTCACTCCTCACCTGCTGACAGTCACTGCACACACCTGAGCTCAGGGCCACACCCCTGAAGCAGCAGGCAGGCCTCACACCCTGATGCTTACCAGCCCCTGGGCACCCACAGCAACAGCGCCTGGCTCACCTGGAGGAGAAGCTGCGGCTGCTGGCACAGGCGCGGGATGAGGCGCAGAGCACCTGCCTGCAGCAGAAGCAGGTGGTGGCCGAGGCCCAGGCACGGGCCAGCCAGCTGGGGCTGCAGGTGGAGGGCCTGAGGCGGCGCCTGGAGGAGCTGCAGCAGGTAGCTGGGACTCAAAGGGCCCCCAGGGGTGCCTCTGGCCCTCAGTCGCCATCTCACACACCCTGTCTGGTAGGAGTTGAGTAACAAGGACCAAGAAAAGGTGGCTGAGGTGTCCAGGGTGCGGGTTGAGCTCCAGGAGCAGAATGGCCGCCTGCAGGCAGAGCTGACGGCCCAGGAAGCATTAAAGGAGAAGGTGGCAGCCCTAGAGCGCCAGCTGAAAGGTGAGCTCCACCCAGCCCCCCACCGCCCTGCGGGACCTTTCTCCCTGGGTCACAGGTGGGCGGCTGGGCTGGAGAGCTGAGCTTGGCCTAGGCCTCGGCTCTGAGAGGTGCTGATGGGAGGCTGGTGTGTGTGCATCCAGGGGACCCGGAGCAAACCCCACCTGGCCTCTCTCTAATTCTCTGGAGTGGCCAAAGCCCAGGCGACGCCCAGCAGTCCTTTCTCACTGATCTTCCTCCCCTGCAGTGATGGCGAGTGACCACCGGGAGGCGCTGCTGGACAGGGAGAGTGAGACTGCCTCTCTCCGGGAGAAGCTGCGGCTCAAGGAGGCAGAGATAGCTCGGATCCGGGATGAGGAGGCCCAGAGGGCCAGCTTTCTGCAAAATGCTGTCCTGGCTTACGTGCAGGGGTCCCCCCTGAGGGCCCTGAGCCCCCAAAAGTGAGGGGAAGTAGAGAGACTCCAGGAGTGGCAGGAAGGTGGCTCTCAAGGGACAGGCTGCTGGGGTCTGGGTGTGCTTGGGCAAGGTGTAGGGCTGGTGACTTGAAAAAGCAGTGCCAAGGTGGGTTGGCCAGTGGCCACTGCAGCTCACCACCCCTCCACCCGGGTGCAGTGTCTGATTGGCGAAGAGGGCTGGAGTGGCCAGTGCCCTTTCCCCACTCCTTTGTCCCACCCCAGACACTGATGCCCCTGAGAAAATGTACCGGTGACGGAAGGAAATTTCGGGGAGCAGAGCCTGACCTCTTCCAGCCCTCCCAGTATTCACAGTCACCTTTTACAATGTAACCATGGATGCAGCAGGTGTTCACAACCACCTTTTACAATGTAACCATGGATGCAGCAGGTGTTCACAACCACCTTTTACAATGTAACCATGGATGCAGCAGGTGTTCACAACCACCTTTTACAATGTAACCATGGATGCAGCAGGTGTTGACTGCTCACTCAGGGGTGTTTTGAAATAAAGAACTTTCACACTTTGTGATAAATTTTCGACTCTGGGCCTTTCTTCCACATCAGCCTGTGCTCCTCGCTCCTCGCTGCGGCGGGGTCTCAGACCTGCCTCTCCCTGCAGGAAAGACCCTCCAGGGTGCTGCCAGGTAGGGAGAGTCAAGCTGCTGCAGCAGAGAGGCTGGGGCTGCCCACCTTGGGAGGACTGGTGAAAGCAAACACCCGGGTTCACCAGCTGTCTCCTGGCTGGAGGGTGGGTGGGCCCTGGGAATGGTCTTTCTAGAAGCAACCACGTGCACACAGACCACCCCACGCATGTGCAGGTGGGTGGGAATCGCCTGCTTGCGCTGCCCCTTGGCCAGGGTCAACTGGGCCTCGGGGAGCCCCCGAGCACTGGGCCCTGCACCTAAAAATTGCGGGGTGGGGAGGCCAGGAGCTCAGGGACGGGCTGGGGAGGTGGGCACCGGGTCCTGCCCCACTCGGTTTCTCCGGAAAGCCCGCGCCCCGCGCCGGCCGCGCTCGGCTGTCTCCGCGCCAGGCGCTCGGCGGCGCTCGGCAGTCTCCGGCCGCTCGGCTCGGCGCTCGGCTCGGGTCCGCGGCCGCTGCGGCGCGGGCATTTCTCCGCAGCTCGCTGGCTGCCGCGCCCGCCCGGCCCGCGCCCATGCAGGCCATCAAGTGTGTGGTGGTCGGCGACGGGTGAGTGTGGGCGCGGCGCCGCGGGGCGGGCGGGGGCCCGGGGACCCTGCCCGAGCTGGGCGCGGCGGGCAGAGGGAGCGGCGGGGCGGGGTCCCGGCTAGTGGGGGCGAGGCCTCCAGCCAGGCCCACTTGATGCTCCCGGGGTCCGACCTGGCAGACGCCTGGCCTCCCAGGGGATGGGGCCAGGCCTCTCACCTGGACTGAACCCTCAACCTGTCCCGCCCCCCTTGTTACCTGGGGTGGTGGAACTCCGCCCCACCCGGCCTGCACCCACCGCTCTGCCCCCGAAAGCCCACCTGCCCTGTCCTCCTCCCCTCGCCCTAGAGCCTCCTCCTCCAGCCCTGGGCCCTCCTCCCCCGTCCCCACCCCCAGCACCCTAACTCGGCTGTGGCTCTGTGGGAGGGAGCTGCCTTTACTGGGCAGGGGAGCTGAGGCGGCCTGGGAGCAACGCGACCCTGCCCTGCCTCCCTAGCGCCGTGGGGAAGACCTGCCTGCTGATCAGCTACACGACCAACGCCTTCCCGGGAGAGTACATCCCCACCGTGTGAGAGGGGCTGTCGGGTGGGCAGCCTGCATGCCAGGCCCAGGGGGCGGTGGTCTGGGCTTGTGGGTGGGGCCGGGGTGTGACCGAGCTCCAGTCCTGATGCCCCCGAGGCACAGGCTGACCCTTCCCCCCCTGTCCCTGCAGTTTCGACAACTACTCGGCCAATGTGATGGTGGACGGGAAGCCGGTCAACCTGGGGTTGTGGGACACGGCGGGGCAGGAAGACTATGACCGGCTTCGGCCACTCTCCTACCCCCAAACAGTAGGTGGTAACGGGCGAGCCCCAGGAGCTGGGTAGCCTGGGGATCCCTGAGGTCCTGGGGTGGGTGGACAACACAGGGGCCTCCTTCCCTTCCTCCCAAGGATGTTTTCCTGATCTGCTTCTCCCTGGTGAGCCCAGCCTCCTTTGAGAATGTTCGAGCCAAGGTAGGAGAGGGCTGGAGAAATAGGGGGGGTGGGTCTTCCCGGGGGGAGGAGGGTACCCAGAGGACTTGCCCTGACAGGACACGGTCTCTGGCTTGAAGACCTTACGCAGGCAAATTGTCTTTTGGAGGCAGAGGAGATGCCTGTTCTGCTTGGCATGGGGTCTGCAGGGGAGGGGTAAGGGGGCTTGGTAGGGGCAGGGATGGTGAGCAGGGCTCTCAGAGAAGATAAGGGCTCTAGCTGGGAGGGCCTAATAGGCCTTGAAGCGCCTGGCTGGGTATTCTTGTCCCCCACCAAACCTAGGGGTCACCTGTGAAGCAGGAAGGGCTAAGTGTGGGGCCGTGAGGAAGGGGCCCTGGGGCGAAGCTTCTGAAGGGTAGGGGTCAGAGCTTCCATCCCCACAGTGGTACCCAGAGGTGCGGCACCACTGCCCCCACACGCCCATCCTCCTGGTGGGCACCAAGCTGGACCTCCGGGACGACAAAGATACGATCGAGCGGCTGCGGGACAAGAAGCTGGCACCCATCACATACCCTCAGGGCCTGGCCATGGCCCGGGAGATCGGTGAGTGGGCTGGGCCAGACCTGCACCGAACCCCCCCCAGCACTGTCCCCTCCCCTCATCTCTTGCCCCTCTGTGCCCCCAGGCTCAGTCAAGTACCTGGAGTGCTCTGCCCTGACGCAGCGGGGCCTGAAGACTGTGTTTGACGAGGCCATCCGGGCAGTGCTCTGCCCACCCCCAGTGAAAAAGCCAGGGAAGAAATGCACAGTCTTCTAGAGCCAGCGTCCGTCTGGGGGCAGCCCCGCCCCTGCCTGTGTCTGCTGTTGTGTCGAGCTGTCTGGTGTCCCAGTCTGCTGTGGGGAGTGCTGTGGGTGGGGAGGGGCAAGAAGCATGGGGTGGGCTGGGGTGGCGGGGTCCTGGCCACTCTGCCTCCTCTGTGGGGGCATGGCTCCAGCCTGCCCTGGCCCCCACAGGAGGCTGGGAGGGAGCAGGGTCTCCCTCAGGCTGCAGGGGTGGGTCTGGGGCAGCCCCAGGATGGGCTTCCCTGACAGGGGGAGGGGGGAGGTTTCTGTTCATGCACCCGGGATGGGGTGGCCCATTCATATTTTATACAATAAACGTTCTCCACCAACATCTGCCTGCCCCTGACCACCCCAGCCATGGTGCAGAGGGGGTGAGCTTGCCCCCAAACCCTGGGCAAGAGGAAGGGAGAAAGGAGCTAGCTGAGTTTCTCTATCTTCAAAGCAGGTGGCCCAGATCAAAGTGGGAGCAAGTGTGTTTAGACCTTTCTGGACAAAGAAAGCCCAGCATGCTGACTGGGAGGGGTACACACAGGATCTGAGGTGGCTCCACTCCAGCCCACCCAGGTGTAGGGGACAGTTGGCAGCCAGGCTTTGGAGCCCTGTTTGGGCAGCCTTCCCCACCGCCCAGGCTGGGGGACCCTGAGCTGAGTCTGCAAGAAGTCAGGAGGGAAGACATCTAGGCAGGACCTGGGTAGATAAAGGGGTGGAGGTCAGGACAGTGTAGTGGGGAGAAGGGACCTCCGGCGGGCATTCTGATCTTACTGAAGTCAGAAACAGTGGGGGGTGAGGGGGGTCAGTTTGGGAGGGCCCAGCAGCCACAGTCCAGGGACTTGGACTTCACTCCCTGGCCACAGGGCCCTGCTCCAGGCAGACACATGATTAGGCCACACTTGGAGAGGGCGCACTGGTCTGCAGAGCCAACGGCAAGGTTTTCAGGAACTTTGCTCCTCAGCTGTTAAACAGGCATTATTAGTAAGTATAAAAACATATGGCCTCTGGAAAATCCCACCTCCCGGCCTCTGCCAGCAAGTTGGCCATATCTAAAAACCTCAGGCACAGGGCCAGGCTGCCACCTGGCCTGGGACACGCCTTGAATGGCTCTCTCCCCACCTCGGACTCATTTCTAAACCCAGCCCTGAGGTTTGCACCTCTGGCCACTTGCCAGCAGCCTAGGAATCACTGTGCAGGCAGAGCAGAAGAATCGTGTTTATTGGAGGGAGGGGGTGGGAGGCAGGGCTCAGCATATAGGGCTGTGGTGGGGGGGGAGGCTCAGGTGGCCAGGAAGCCCCCATCCACCGGCACAGTGGAGCCCGTGGTCATGCTGCTCCGGTCACTCAGCAGGAAGAGGATGAAGTCCACCACGTTCTCCACCTCTGTGGGCAGGGTGGGGGTCAGGGCAGCGACTAAGGGGGCTGCCCTTCATCCTTCCTTCCCACCCCTCACCCGGGCAAGCACAGGGGCTCCTGGTACAAGTCCAGCTGAGCTCTCTGCCTACTCACCAGCAAATCTGCCCAGTGGGATTCGGTCTAGAATGGTCTTGGCTTTCCGGGGGTCGCTCCAGTTGGCCTTGCCCATGGGTGTCATCACCACTGTGGGGTTCACTGCATTCACACGGATCTGTGCCAGGACGGGTGGGGATCAACAAGGTGGGGAGCCCTGGGCACGCGAGCTGCGTGATGGGAGGCACCCTAGCGGGGCTCACCTTGTGTGGCCCAAGCTCCAGAGCCATCACTTTGGTCAGCATGTCCATGGCACCCTTGGTGGCACCTATGAGGAAGGACAGACTGCCTGGAGCCGGGCCGGCTGCAGGCTAGGGGTGGGTGGGGCCAGGGTGCAGCTGGGCCCACTCACAGTAGACGCTGTGGTTAGTTAGTGCGCGCTGGGAGGCCTGGCTGGACACATTCACGATGGACCCTGGGGCTCCGCGAGCGATCAAGTCCCGGGCCACAATCTGGAATTGCGGAGGGGACATGAGGCAAAACTAGGGTCAGCACCCAGCCCCACTCCTGCCTGGAGGGCAGCTCACCTGGGACACCTGGATAACGGCCCGCAGGTTCACATCGAAGGAGCTGGAGGCAGATGGAGGGACCCCGGTCAGGGGCTGGGGCTGCTGCTGCAGGGGCAGCCCTCCCACCCAGGGTGCCTTCACTCCCGTGGGCTCACATGTCACACGCCTCCTTGGTGACCTCTAGAAAGGGCTGCAGCAGCGCCACAGCGGCATTGTTCACCAGCAGGTCCACGGGGCCCACGCCGCCCAGCGCCCGCTCCGTGGCCTCCCAGTCGCTCAGGTCCACGCACACCGGCTTTACCCCAGGGCACTGTGAGTATGTTTAGGGGGTGCACGGCCATCAGGGTCTCCACGCCCGAGAAGGGGCACAGCAGGGCTTCTGCCCCACAAGGGAGGGGGGCTGGGTGCTCTTTCAAACGAACAGGAGGGGCTAGGGGTCCCACAGATGGCCACCGTCCCGGGGCTCAGAATCCCGAGCTGCTGAGGCACAGGGGAGGGCAGTTACGTGGCCTCTGGACCACTGGCCACTCTGAGCTTCGTGACCGGGAACCTGCCACAGTCCACTTCCTCCCTGACCTCCTCTGGCCCGGGCCTGCCAGGCAGCCATTTCTGCTCCCTTCTAAGCCCAGGGGCGTCGCCATTCTCTTGACCACTCGGGAGCCCACGGAGTCTGCGCGCCCCGGGAGGGGCTGCTGAGGGTCCTCGGTCACCCCGGGGCCTGGAGCCCGCGCGTGCGGCCCCCCCCGGCCCCGCCCGCTGCCCGCCGGGCTGGCACGCGGCGACGCCTCTACCTCGCGGACCAGGCTGTCCAGGTCGCCCTGGGTCCGGCTCACGGCCACCACCTGCACACCCGCCGCGTGCAGCGCCTGCACCGTGCTGCGCCCGATGCCTGTGGGGAGCGCGGCTCAGTGCGGGCGCCCCCACGCCAGCCGCCCTCCCCGCCCCCGGCCCTCCCCGGGCGCCGGCCCACCTTTGCCCGCCCCGGTGACGAGCGCCCGGCGGCCCGCGAGCCCCAGCTCCATGGCGGCGCCGCCCGGCCTTGTGCGAGCCACGGCCCGACTGCGAGCCGTGCGCAGGGCGCGGGGCCGAAGAGCGCCGGGCGGGGCCGGGTGGGGGCGGGGACAGCCTACCAGCGGCCCCCTGCGGGGCGATTGGCCAGAAGGAGTGGGCGCGGTCGTGGTAGCCGGGGCGGGGTTCTTCAAACTGCCCGGGGGAGACCCACCCACCGGGCAGGAAATCGGTTTAGCGTTCCTGCAAGCATTTCTTCCCTGCCGGGGGGATTACCGTATTATATAAAAACAATGTGCTGGTCAATACCATGGAGAACTCAGTGCTAGTATATTTTTTTGTTTCTGAGAAGAAAAGTTTGGCAAAAAGAATCACATGCCCACCCTCCCCCAGACCTCGGAGTGGCTCCCTTGCGGTGCCCAGAGGGAGAGTTTGAACCACTAATAAGCCTGGACAAGAATCCAAATCCAAGGAAGGTTCACTTTGGCCTGAAAGGGAATTGAACCCCAAAATCGCCCTGGCCAGCTCACAGGAGGCCTCCAACACTTAAAAAAAAAAAAAGAAAAGAAAAGCTTGGCCCGACTGGTGTGGCTCAGAGGTTGAGCACTGACCCTTGCTCCAAGAGGTTGCCGGTTCGAGGTCAGGACACATGCCCAGGTTGTGGGCCTGATCCCCTGTGGGGGGCGTGCAGGAGGCAGTCAATTGATGTTCTCTCATCGATGTTTCTCTCTCTCTCCCTCTCCCTTCCTCTCTCTCTCTCTAATATCAATAAAGAAAATAATAATACTAATAGATAAAAATTCTAAAAATATATCCTTGGGTGAGGATTAACAGAAAACAAACAAAAGCGTGTGCAGGAGTAGGATTGGAGTCATTGGGGTGCATGGTGGTCAGTAAGGGTAAGCACTGCTTTCTGAGGATTTAGGGTCAGCTACAGGTGTTCGAGTGCACATGAGTTCCCCGGACAAGCTTTTGTTCTGTGGGTCATGTGGGAAAATCTAGGACCCCTGCTCTGAAGGCCTTCTGTGGCCAGCGGGAGGGGATTGGTGATTGCAGGACCTCTGGGTCACCTGGGGCTTTGGGCCCAGAGACGTTGGCAGGCTGGAGGAGAGGGTGGTCAGGGGCAGCAGGAGGCACATATGTGAGAAGGCTCTGGAGGAAGGCAAAGAAAGTCCTCCCCATCGGGCCTGGCCCTGTGGTGTAGCCCACATTCCTCAGCGGCCTGACAAACCCTGCTTTCCGCTCCTAATCTTGGACCCTAATCTCTGACGGCCCTAGCTTGTCCTCCCAGAAAGGCACCTCTGCTTAGGGCCTTTCAGAGGCTTTAGATCCCAGAATGGTGTCTAAATCCGTCCACTCGTCCTGTGATTGCTGGTGGGCTAACTGGACTGAACCCTGCTCTGGGAGGCCCCTCAGGCTGGTCAGAAGTGCCCGAAGCACTCCCTACCCCCTCTCTGTGCCCTCCCAGCCCAAAGGGTCCATTGCCTGAAGGGCCCCATCTCAGCCCCTTGCCCCCTTGTCCAGGGTTGGACACTGCACTAGTCCAGATGACTGACCACTTCAGGCCTCATTACACCCACACTTGGCCTTCTAGATGGCACAGGCCATGCGAGCACCCAGGCCAGGACAACAGAAAGACCCTCTCCGTGTGCTTGGATTCTGACTAGGGACAGTAGGAACAGGAGCAGCTGTGGGCCCTCCCCAGCTTGGGCCTGCCCCTCACGGGTAGTCTCGTGGGAAGAGGTGTGCTCAAGGTGAAGCTGCATTCCCTGGTCAGCACCCCACCCCCTCACGCTAGTCCCATCTTCCTTGGGGGTGGCCTAGGGTCCAGGGCATCTCCACAACTCCCAGACCCTCCACCCTCTCCGACTTGCCGCAGTGGGATCCGAGACGGGTCGGCGGGCGAGGACAGAGCCTCGGGGAGGGACGGTGTCTGCAGGCCTGCCTCCGCCCTTGAGCGATCTCCTCCTGCAGAAGGAATCTGGGCTCGGCGGCCACGGGGCGGGGTCGGCGGTGGAATCCGCTGGCTTCTGGATTTGCCCCCCTTTTTATGGAAGGTGAAATGTGAGCCCCACAGCCCCTGACCCTACTGTCCCCAGCCTCACGGCGGGCCCCTCCGGAGCCCAGGCACCCGCTGGCTCCAGGAGCAAGGCCTCCGTTTATCGGTTTAGGCAAAATCACCCGGCCCACTGGAGGACCCCGTCGGTGGGGACGGCAGGGGCGGGGTCTCGAGGCAGTGGGGAGAGAGGCCAGAGCGGGCCTGGATTGGGGACGGGCTGGTGGCGCCGGCAGGCCATGGGCGGAGCGGAGGCGGAGAGGACCAGCCGCGGGGGCTGTGGGCGCTGGGGAGTGGGGCGGGGCTATAAATGAGGGGCGGGCCCTGAGGTGGGGCGGGGCCGTGGGGGCGGGCCGAGGGCGTGGTCTGCGGTGGGCGTGCCCCGTCGCGAGGCGGGGCGGGGCGGGGGGCGGGGCCGAGCGGGGCGGAGGACGGCCGGGAAGGCGGCACCGAGCTGGTGTCTGGGAGGCCGGGTGCCCGGCGTCGGCCGGGTTGCTGGAGCCGCGGGCGGAGGCGCCGCAGTCGCTGAGCAGGAACAGGGTGCCGTTGACCAGGTCCTGCAGCTCTCCGGCCGCCCTGGCCTTGCCCGCGCAGCCCCGCAGCCCTGCTGACCTGCACACCTCCGCGGCGGGCCTCGCTCCTTCAGCTTCCGGGTGAATTCGGGGTCCCTCAAGCCTTGATAGCCCATGGTCGTCAGCACCACCGTGGGGTTCACGGAGTTCACCCGGATCCTGGACCCAGGGGCCGGCCGGAGGCTGAGGACCCAGCCGGTGGCAGGTTTGCTGTGTGCCGGCCAACCCCTGACCCCAGCCCCGAGCCTTGAGTGGTCTCCAGGCCTCTCCCACGCCCACCGCCCTTTCTCATCCCCCAGCCGTGCCCCTAGCGCCTGCCTTGTGCCCCCACAGGCCCAGCCCGGCACCCTGAGCACCCCCACGTTCACCTCGTGTGGCCCCAGCTCCATGGCCATGGCTTTGGTCACCATAGTCACTCCCCCCCTGGTGGAGCCTGTCGGGGGGCAGCTCTGAGTACCTTTCGGGATTCAGCCTTTTTTGCAGGGAGGCCCAGTCCCAGAGCCCAGCAAGGGTGGAGATACAGGCTGGACAGAGGACGCACTGTAGACAGCAAGGTTGGGAAAGGTGACGAGGCCACTGTGCTGGAGACATTGACGATGCAGCCAGGTACTCCGTGGTTTATCATGTCTTGGGCCCAGAGAGGAGACAGCTTGACCCGAACACACCCTTACATGGGCCTTGTCAGCTGTGGGGCCACATCCTTCCACTGGCTCACCCGAGACACTTGGGACAGAGCCATGTTCACACGGAAAGACCTGGGAGGAGAGCACAGTCAGGTGGACCATGGCCGTGTCTGCCTCACCTCTGCACAGCCCCTCCCCAACCCACCTACTCTCCCACTTCCCAGCTGTCGAAGACCTTGGTGGCCTCCAGGAGGGGCTGCCGCAGCACCACAGTGGCATTGTTCAGCAGCAGGTCCACGGGGCCCACACTGCCCAGCGCCCGCTCTGTGGCCTCTCAGTCACCGAGGTCCACCCACACAGACTCTATCCCGGGACACTGTGGGAGGCATTGAGCAGGGACTGGGTGGTCCCAGCAGGTTCAGGAGGCACTCCCAAGGGTATGAGGGGGAGGCTGAGCACCTCACCTCCTTGGAGAGGCTAACCAGGTTGGCGTTGGTGTGGCTCATGGCCACCACTCTGGCTCCTGAGGGGTGCAGGGCATTGGCAGTGTCCCATCCAATCCCTGCAGGGGACACTGGGCAGGCAGTGGCCCAACACGTCTGGGTCAAGGCTGGGGTGGGAGCTGCAGCTTTGCTGCTCAGGAAAGAACAGCAAGAGGGTACTGGCCAGAGGATGCTGGCCTGGGAGTAGTGGGGGCCAAGTCAGTGGCCCAGCCAGCAAGGTCCAGCCAAGGGAGGCCCCAGAGGGCAGTCCCTTCCTACTAGGCCTGGGGAAGAGACCTTGGCTTGATCCCCCATCCACCATCCTGAGTCTTGCATTCAGGTCTGTCCACCTTGCTCTCCACCTTAGCTCCTCCCGTATTCCTACCTGCCCTACTCATACCACCTTGCCCTGCCCCTGTCACCAGGGCTCAAGGCTGCTGAAATTAACTGCATGGTGCTGATTCCTAGCAGGAGAGGAGAATGTGGAAGTTTTATAGGCGGGGAGTCGGGGGGTTGGGAGAACAGCTTGAAGTGGGGAGGCTGGGCACTGGGTATGGCAGGGCATTGGTCCAACTTCTATTTTCTTGTTCACAGTAATCCATTCCCCTGGAAGGGGCTGCCCTCCTCACCACAACCCAAAAGGTGCCAGCCAGAAGCTCCATCCTCGGTTTTGGAAAGGAAATTAATAAACCCTGAGGTGAGGTATATGCCCCTTCCTGGCTGGCTAGGGGCTGACGGCCTGGAGCTGGCCCCCTGCTCCCATCACCTGACCCCACCACAGCCCCTGTCTGGGGGCCACTGTGGCCTCTGGAGTCTTTTTCACCTGCACCTGACCAGCCTAGGACTCTTGTGCCTGTGCCCACAGATTCAGCCTCCCTGAGGCACCCTCATTCCTTCTCAGGTGTAGCTCAGGGATAGGGGATCCTCCCTTGGTCCCCGCCCTTCCCTTCTCGGGAGAAAAAGATGAATGTTTCATTTTACAAAGGTATCAGTTACCAAATTGCTGTAACTCAGAGTTAGCTTAAGAGAAAAGGTTTCCTTATATCTGGAAAGATTAAAGAACCGGTAATTCAGCAGTTCCTTGAATAATATCGTTTTGTTTAACGTCATTTCATTTTAAAAGTTAATGAGAAAGAAAATTGATTCCCGGCAGGGACCACTGTCTGTGGAGCGTACGCGTGGCCCACTACATGGGTTTTCTCCAGTTTCCTCCCATGTCCCAAGGATGTGCGTGTCGCTGAAGTGGCGTGTTCAGACTGTCCTCGTCTGAGTGTGTTCTCTGTAAGGGACCCTGCAATGGGAGGGTGTCCTGTCCAGGGTGGGTGCTGCCTTTTACCCTGAGCTGCCGGATAGGCTCTGGCCACCAGATGCCCTGAACTGGAATAAGTGGGTTGGAAAGCAATTAACTTCCTTGTTTTGTTTTTTTTTTATCCTTACCTGAGGACATTTTTCCATTTTTTGTTCAGATAGAGTGAGAGGGAGAGAGAGGAAGAGAGAGAGAGAGAGAGAGAGAGAGAGAGAGGAACATCGACATGAAAGGGACACATCGAGTGGCTGCCACCCGCACAACCCAACCAGGGCCTGGGACAAACTGCAACTGAGGTATGTGCCCTTAGCGGGAACTGAACCCAGGTCTCTCTGTATCGCAGGTCGACGCTCTAACTGCTGAACCAAACCGGCCAGGGCAACTTCCTTGTTTTTATTAATCTTTCTTTTCTTTTCTTTTTTTTTTTTTTTTGTACAGATAGAACGGGAGGGAGAGAGAGGGAGAAACATCGACGTGAAGGGACACATCGAGTGGCCGCCACCCGCACAACCAACCAGGGCCGGGGACAAACTGCAACCGAAGTACATGCCCTTAGCAGGAACCGAACCCAGGTCTCTCCGGACCGCAGGCCGACGCTCTAACCGCTGAGCCAAACTGGCCAGGGCTTATTAATCTTTCTTAAATGTAGGTATAGCTCATATTTATTTCAACATTAAATATTAGAAGTGTAAAAATTAATACAAACAGAGCGTCTTTAAAGTGGGGCCAGAGCCCAGCCGGTGTGGCTCAGTGGTTGAGCGTCAGCCCTGCACCAAGAGGTCGCCGGTTCGATTCCCAGTCAGGGCACATGCCCAGGATATGGGCCTGATCCCCATTGGGGGGCATGCAGGAGGCGGCCAATCGATGTTCTCTGTCATCGATGTTGCTTTTTTTTTTCTCATCGATGTTTCTATCTCTCTCTCCCTCTCCCTCTAAAAAAAAAAAGGCTTGTATTAAAAATAAAAATATAGTGGGGCCGGAGCTGCCATCTCTTAGGAACTGCCCTCTGCCAGGCCAGTTCCGCAAACCTCTGCAATGTTCAAACCGGGCAAATGGCCTTTGGTCCGAGCCTACAGCAACATTGTGTCCCAAACAACTGTTTGCAAAGGTAACAAAGCAGTCTGACTGAGCCATGGCTACAGGACTGGGAATTTAAAACATTGTTTAGAACCAGTGTCACTGTGTTCTCTTACCTGCACCAATAGCAGCGCCTTCCTGCTGCTGATGGCTTTGTCCTCTTCCGGTCTCATCGGACCCCTGGCCTCCGTCTCCTCTGGACCGTGTGGGCTTCTTTGGTCTCAAATCCATGCTGCTGCTTCTCACTGTGCCTTATGTTTTTAGGTTAATAGAAGTGTTTTGAATCTTTATTTAGAAATTTGGTGATGTTTTTGTGACCAAAAATATGCCACTGGGACTTGAAACTCTTCTTTTTTTGTTTTTTTGTTTGTTTGTTTATTTTATCCTCACCCGAGGACATTTTTCCATTTTTTGTTCAGATAGAGCAGGAGGGAGAGAGAGGAAGAGAGAGAGAAACATCGACGTGAAAGGGACACATTGGTGGCTGCCACCCACACGACCCAACCAGGTCTGGGGACAAACTGCAACCGAGGTGCATGCCTTTAGCGGGAACCGAACCCGGGACTCTCTGGACCGCAGGCCGACGCTCTAACCGCTGAGCCAAACCGGCCAGGGCGAAACTCTACTTTATATCAGTTAGCCTTGGGTGAAATAAGTCTTGCTCTATGTTATTTCACTTAAAGCACATTTAGTGAGGACTGTCTGGCATCAAACAAGAAGTCGTACTATGCCAGACACCCTTCGGGAAGGAAATGTGGAAAAGATACAAGTGTATCACTCACAGAACCTGGACATTACAGACACCTGGGCCGCAGTGAGGTCACAGCCGAAGAGAGAGGACACGTGACCTGGTGCTGCTTTCACTGGGGTAGAGGGTGGGGGCTCACTCTTTAATAGTGAGTTTATTTATTTTAAAAAACTTGTTTTCCTTTATTGATTTTTAGAGAGAGAGAAAGGGAGAGGGAGAGAAAGATAGAAACATCGATGAGAGAGAACATCGATTGGCTGCCTCCTGCATGCCCCCCACTGGGGATCGGGCCCACAACCTGGGCATGTGCCCTGACCGGGAATCGAACCAGCGACCTCTTGGTTCATGGGTTGGTGCTCAACCACTGAGTTGCACTGGCTGGGCTTTATTTTATTTATTTATTTATTTATTATTATTATTATTATTATTATTACTATTTTTATTTTTATTTTTATTCCTCACCTTAGGACACTTTTCCATTCATCATCAGATAGAGTGGGAGGGAGGGAGAGCGAGATAGAAACATCGATGTGATAGAGCCACATCAACTGGTTGCCTCCTGCATGACCTGACCAGGGCCGGGGACAAATTGCAACTGAGGTACGTGCCCTTAGTGGGAACCAAACCTGGGTCTCTCTGGTCCACAGGCCGATGCTGAGTCAAACCAACCAGGACAATCCAGCTTTCTAGGAGCCCCCTGGGAGCTGCCCCCTGGGAGCTGTTGAGGGACTAATGGCTTAGCCTGCAGGGACGTGTGTGTGAGTGTGTGAGAGTGTGTGTGCGAGAGTGCGTGTGAGTGTGTGTGTGACAAGGGGGAGGCAGGAGGAGGTCTTGGACACATGAGAGGGCAGGTCTGGGCCTGGACAAAGGTTCTTTGAGCTCAGGTTCCCTCCTTTGAGGCCCTTAACAAGGAGGGAGTTCTTCATTTTTCCTGTTTCTCAGGTGGGGAGAGCAAACCTTCCTGAAACAAGACTGGGGCCAGGCCCCCAAGGGGGCACTGGAGCGGGGTGGAGGGCTGCGGTCAGCGCTGGCCAGAGGCCCGGGCTGTCGGGGAAGGCCGTGGGCGCTGCAGGGAGGGCGGGGCAGCCAACACAGCCAGAGACAGGAGCTCCTGGGACAGAGCCCCGGCTGCCAGGCTCTCAGCCCTGCTTCACCCCTGCAAGTCTCCCACGTCACACGCAGGCCTCCAAGTAGGCGTCTGGGGCCTGGGCTCCTCCTGCTGCTACCTGGCTCCCTCCACCTGCTTGGCTTCTGGGCCCAGCTGGGGTGTCAGCTCCTCTGAGGGTCACCCCCTGGGCTCCTGCCCCCTTGCTGTGGCTCCCAGGCCCCCCACCTGCTCCGTTGCTCATGTTCCTGAACAAGGCCTGGGCACTCTCATCATTGCTGTCCCCACCTGGCGAAGGGGTACTTCCAGCGCACGTCCGGGTGCGTGAATGTTCGGGTGGGTGACTGGTGCCCACCCCGAGACAAGGGGCACAGGCCGTGACTGCCACGCAGGGACTCTGAGACTGGGCGGCCGGAGAAGGGCAGGGGCCTGAGTCAAGGTGATAGTGGTCAAGACTTCAGCTCCTGCTCCTGGCCAGTCTCCAAAGACCTGTGCAGGGCTTTTTCCTTGTCACAAGACAGCTATCAAAAGGCACTGTTGACCCTGAACCCTCCTAGACACAGAGGCCATGAACCCTTCAGTCCTTGAACCACACAGTGCGTCAGGCCGGAGGCAGCACGGGGGGACCTCCTGGAGGAGGCAAGAGGCAAGCAGAGAGGAAGCTGCCAGCGATCCCGTGTGCAGGAAGGGACAACCTACTCAGGTCAGCCGATGCAGGTTACTGTTCGCCTTCCACCCCTTGTGTGTGTGCGCGCAGGCATACACATGGGGACACACGGGGGCACACACAGGCACCAGCACACAGGAACGTGTGTACTCATGGATGTGCACATGCACACACACAGGAAAACACAGGCACAGGACACACAGACACACAGGACCAGGCCACTACATGCATGAGCAAACACAGCACACAGACTCATGGACATGCATGCACGCATAGGCAACATGTGTGTACACGGTGCACATGGGCACACGCACATGTACCCAGCAGATGAAGAGGACTCTGGGCATCAGCAGGCTCATCCTTGATACTGAGCTGGGCCAGCAGCCAGGCTTGGCCATGTCGTCACTGCTGAGGGTCCTCCTGCAGGACAGCGAAGGAGCGAGCGGGCAGAACCCTGGCACTCCCTGTAGCTGGTCACTCAGGCTGGATCTGGGGGGCTGGGGTGGGAACAGCTGACTTGAAGTACTTGAAGTGCTGGTCCCTGTGAGGGCTGCTGCTTCCTGACCACCGGGTGGCTCCTGGGAACCTTCTGGGCCAGACTCATACCCAGTGCTGTCCTGGAGCCTTTGAATGTAACCCTGGGGGCTAGGGAAATGCTCACCCCTCCGGGAAGGATGTCAAGAGACACCTCCCACCATATTTTGATTTGTTCCGGACAATGGGGACAGAAAAGACCTAAGACCTTGCAGTCACATCTTCCCTGTACACTGTGCTGGAGCTTCTGGTCTCAGGACCATCTTTGTGTGGCAGGGAACAGTCCTGAGCTGACCACACGGGGGAGGGGCGCTCCAGGTCGGACCCTGCCTTGGGCCTCTGCACCCCAGGGAGCCCAGTGTGGGGGGAGCGGGGGAGGCCTTGCCTCCAGGGGTCCTGGGCGCAGCACCGGGCCCTTCCCATGGAACGGACCGCCTGTGTGGAGGGCTTTCGAGCTTCGGGGCACCACAGAGCGGCTCCTGCAGCAGGCAGGGTGTGTTTGAGGGGCGCACATCTGCATGCTACCTCTCTCCAGCTGAGTGGGACGCACTGCCCGGAGCTGGGATGTGAACCCCAAACCACAGCCTTTCTGGTCATTTCCGTGTTGGCTTGTTGATTCTTCTTCATGCCCAGGGGCCCAGAGTCTCCCAAATACTGCCCCTAGAATGGGATTAAGGTGCAGTCCAGGAGGTGTGCATGGGAGGGGGCTGTGGGCAGATCCCTTCTGCTGAGAACTAAGCTCCTTTGGTTCGGGAAGTGCTCCTCCAAGCACAAAGGCTGTGTGGTGAGTGTAAGATGATGCCCTTGGGAAAACCTTCCCAGCTCCTCCCAGGAGTAGGCTTGGGCTGGAGGGGGGCAGGGGTGCAGAGCTAGGGAGGGGCACCAAGCTTCCTGACATAAGCTATCACCTTGTGGCCCCTTATCCTCACCATGGGCACTGAGGGCCCATGCCCCTCAGGGGCCAGCAGCTCATGCCCCCAGCCCGCAGACACGGCCTTGTGCACCGTGAGTCCCAGAGCTGAGGGCCCTGCTGTTGGGTTCTGGAGAACTTTCTAGGGGTTAGGATGGTTTCCCCCTGCAGGCCAGGTCAGAGGATCCTTAGCTGCTTCTGCCTGCTCCCATGCCCAGGTCTCTCTCAGTCACAAGAAGACAAGGAGCCCTTCCTTTAGCATGATAATGTCTCTGGGGAGTCCAAAGACCACCCCCTTGGGAGTCAGCCCAGCTCAGACATACTTCTGTCTTCTTAGGCCTCACTAGACCCTTCCGCCAGCTAGTGTCTCCTTGTGGCTCTGAGCTCCCTGCAGCAGAGTGGAACAAGTCAAACACAGACTGGGATGTACATCACACCGTCCTTTCCATAAACGAAACCTGTGTGATGCCATGACTGGTACCCAGACTAGCCTTCCTGCTGTAAATAATCATGGAACTTGACAAACACACCCAGTAATTGTATTTAGAAAATGGATAATAAGTAGCACCAGACTAACTTCTCTGGGGGATGAAAACCCCTGAGATGAGACCCATGGATACCCGACCTGAGATAACACCTCCACCCTGGAGCCAGGAACCAGAGTCCAAGCAGAACACATGGTCCTGCCAAGCAAGGGAGGCAGGTCAGGGTTCGAGGCAGTTGAAGGGGCTGGAATCTTCAGAGCACAACATTGGAGAGGAGGAGGCTATGCCTGGAAGTCTGTGTGTGGTTCCTTCTGAGTCCATGGCCGAGGGCTGGGCTGTATGCATGTGGGGTGAGAACAGAGCTACAGGGAGTGGAACAGTGCTGGAGACTTGACATGCTGGCCCAGCTAGAGTGGACACAGACCACTGACACCAAGTTCAACTCCCTGGGTATCCAGCTGTGATGTAAAGTCATGTCCTTATGAGTCAGGACCACTAGAGGGCGGCTTACTACAGTTCTACTCTCTGAAGCCCTGATAAAATTCCCAAGGGAAATAAAGTTTGGCAGCTGAGTCCCTCCAAGTTGGAGGGCCTTGGGAAACACCATAGGTTTTCTACTGATAACCCTAATAATGCACAAAACCAAACTGAAACAAGTTCAAAGTGATTAGTCAGTAAACTGCCTACCAAAACAAAAATCAACACTCTTCAGAAGAAGATAATGAAATCCAGACTGTCTGTAGCATATCCTCCACAATATTCAGGATACAATGAAAACTTTCTAGAAATAAAAAGAAACAGGAAAATGTTACCCATAGTCAAGAAAAATACCAGCCAATTAAAAAAACTGTCTAGATTTACCAAGCAAAACTTAAAATTAGCTATTATAAATATGTTAAGAGTTAAAGAAGCCCTGGCCGGTTTGGCTCAGGGGTTTGGAGCATCGGCCTGCAGACCAGAGAGTCCTGGGATCGGTTCCCACTAGGGGCATGTACCAAAAAAAAAAAAAAAGAAAATATTATCTTAATAAGTAAACAAATAGGACATTTCAGCTTAAACATGGAAACTATAAAAAAGAATCAAATGGAAATTGTAAACTTAAAAAATAAAACAAAAGAAAAAATTCACCGGGTAGGTTTAACAGCAGATTGTAAATGACAGAAAAAAAAAGTCGTTATACTTGCCTGATTAGTGTGGTTCAGTAGCTGAGCGTTGACCCATGCACCAAGAGGTCGCTGGTTTGATTCCTGGTCAGGGCACATGCCCGGGTTGTGGGCCCGATCCCCAGTGGGGGACATGCAGGAGGCAGCCAGTCAATGTTCTCTCTCATGGATCCTTCTATTTCTCTCTCCCTCTCCCTTCTTCTCTCTCTAAAATCAATAAAGAGCCCTGGCTGGTTTGGCTCAGCGGTTAGAGCATCGGCCTGCGGACCAGAGAGACCCGGGTTCGGTTCCCGTTAAGGGCATGTACCTCGGTTACAGTTTGTCCCAGGCCCTGGTTGGGGTTGTGTAGGTGGTGACCACTCGATGAGTCCCTTTCATGTTGATGTTTCTCTCTCTCCCTCTCTTCCTCCCTCTCTCCTTCCCACTCTATCTGAAGATAAACGCAAAGATGTCCTTGGGTGAGGATAAAAATAAATAAATAAATAATAAAAACTCATTACACACACACACACACACACACACACGTGGCCAGAAGGCAGGGAAATCATATAATTGAATGGCTTAAAAAAAGACAAGTCAACCTAGAAAGTCCGTATGCAGCAGAAATGTACTCCCAGAATGAAGGCAAAATGAGGCCATTTTCAAAACAAAAGCCGAGAGATGGTCACTTGCGTCGCCAGAAGGGATACAGAATGTTAGACTAATAAACACACTGGGAGGTAAGAGGTGCAAGTTTTCTCTTCAAGTTTTCCTTAGAAAACAATGAACTATTTAAAATAACAATGATAACAGGGCGAGGTGGAAATTTCAGCATCTGTAAAAATAAAAGACGTAAGACCCCAAGGACTGAGGGTGAAGGAGGCCATTCTCCAGGAGGCTGGTCACATCTGTGCGGCGGGAAGGACTTCAATACTGACTCTAAACACATTTGATAAATCGAGGGTGCATATGGTTAACCCTACACCACCAACAAATAATAGAAGAAATAAAGGAAAAGAATAAACCCACTTTATTACCGCCCCACGCCCAAGAAAAGCAGGGAAGGGCTCCAAGGTAAACGTCTTGCTGTGTTTCCTTCCAGGCGTTTTTCTCTCTGAAAACTATATGGACCAGCTGCCTTGGCAGAGCCTGCACCCCAGGATGCCACCCGGCCTCCCCTCCCCTTGGGAGTACGAGGAAGTTCGGGGGTGACCGGCCCTCTGGGCCCAGTGGGGGAGGGGTCTGCACCTCAGAGGTGGCAGTTTGGTCCAGTCTGGTCTGTTCTGGCCGGTGCTTGGTGAACGCAGGCGAGGCCTGTGGTCTGGGGGGGTCAGCTAGCGTCTGGGTCTCAGGGGCTGCCACACCTTCCAAACCTGGAAATATGGGAGGTGTTTCCTGAACACAGACAACTCCTGCCATGAACCCCTCCCCAAGTGAGCAGTGCCTGACACTAGCTCCCTCCTTGGGATCTAGTGGACGCCGGCTGGCTCTGCCACCCTCGTGGGCCGCTGGCGCCCGGTTGCCTGTCTCCATCCCCACTCCTGAGGGCAGCCACCCCTCGGCTCTTCCCACTCCCCCATGCCACTGTCCCCTGCACCACCGTCCTCAGACCTATGGCCTGAGTTCTTCCCGAATCTGAAAGGCAAGGCTGGCTTCCTCTGGGAACAACTATCTGGGTCAAAGTGGACATTACTGCTTTGACAGTATAATCAGAACCCAGCACACAAATGGCAGTGGTGTGACCGGTCACTCAGGCAGGAAAAGCCTCAGACCTGGTTAAGTGGACATGAACTTTGACCAAAAGAAATCAATGGATGCCCTGGCCGGTTTGGCTCAGCGGTTAGAGCGTCGGCCTGCGGTCCAGAGAGACCCGGGTTCGGTTCCCCGGGTTCGGTTCCCGCTGAGGGCGCGTACCTCGGTTGCAGTTTGTCCCCGGCCCTGGTTGGTCGTGCGGGTGGCAGCCACTCGATGTGTCCCTTTCACGTCGCTGTTTCTCTCTCTCTCTCCTCCTCCCACTCTATCGAACAAAAAATGGAAAAATGTCCTCGGGTGAGGATAAAAAAAAAAAAAAAGGTGAAGCCAGCCCCGGGGAGCGGTCTCTCTGCAGCGGTCTCCCTGCCGAGAGGTGCCATTGCGCACCTGGGAGCACGCTGGATGGCGTTGAAAGTGTTGACAGGGCAGAGGACAGACACAATGTCCCCTCCCAGCGGCCTTGCAAGAACTAAGTCCTTGAAGAAGAGGCCATGAGGAGCCAGGTTCTGAATAACCCAGACACACTTTCTGTGGGTGGACATGGGACCCTCCACGTCCCCTGCCGTCTAGGGCATTGTGTCATGAGCAGGGCCTGGGGCGTGGCCCAGGAAGGAGGGAAATCCTACCTGGTGTCAGGGGACAGGACACAGAGCCAAGGCTGGCCCTGAACAGAGCATCAGGTGAACCTCGGGGCCACACAGGTGGGACAGGGGCTGTGGGAGGAGCCGCGGCCGGTGCAGCTGTCGCCGCAGCGCCTTTTACCTTTGTGGGGTCTGTTCTTGTTGCTGTGACTTTTCTGCAACGTGTTTAAGAATTCGCCGTCTTAGGCCCTGGCCTGGTAGCTCAGTTGGTTAGAGCACTGTCCTGATACACCAAGATTTCAGGTTCAGTCCCAGGTCAGAGTCAACCAATCAAAGCGCCCGTGAGTGGAACAAATCAATGTCTCTCTCTCACGTCAATAAACAAACAAACAAAGAATTCGCTGTCTCACCACCATTGTTCAGATGAAGCTTTGGGCTCGCTGGGACACACCACCCCTTCCATGTCTTCCAGTATCTCTCCTCCAGTCAGAGCCCCGCTGAGCACAAGCCAGGGGCCTCTCCTGGGCCCCCACGGCCCAGGCCCCAAGGACACAGGATGCTTGACCCCACATGTTCTTGGGGTACATTTGCCACCGTGCACCAATGGATCAGACAGAAACCTGCCATGTGGATGCCAACCTGCTGATTTGGGTAGTGCCTACCTGCACTCTACACACATGGCTGCACACGCCTACACAGCCATGCACGTGTACACACTCATATACAGCCGTGCACACGTGCACACTCACATACACAGCCATGCATACATGTGCGCGCACGCACACACACACATACACACACACTAGTTCTCCTGCAAGGTGTTGAGAGAGCAAGTGTAATACACAGGAGGGCTGCCCCCAGGAATGAGGTTTGTGCCGGTTCTCCCCTTCCTGCAGGACGCGTGCTGTCTGCTTCAGCTCACACAGAAGACCTGGGCTGCCGTGGGCTGAGCTGGCAGGGCTGGGGCCCTCCGGGGGAGGAGCTGGATGCCCACTGTCTGTGCAGAGCTGAGCCACCAAGAGCTCTGCTGGTCCATTGAGACAACGAGCCAAACAGAAAGTAACAATCAAACTTTTATTCGCTCACTGCACCAGCACAGCGAGAGGCCAGGGAGGGCTGTGGGCCGGCTCCTCTCTGCGCCCTGGAAAGGCACAGCTGGGTCAGCACAGGCGAGGGGCTGCCTCCCAGGGGAGCCGCACACAGAGGGCTCCTGTTCGTGGACTTGGAGCCAGGGCAGAAGACCTGCACCGAGGGCCGAGTCAGTGTGGAGAAGGGTCTTCAAGCCTCCCAGTCAGGGGGTCTGGCTGAGGAGCCTGGGAGGGGCCTGGGCCACGGGCCTCCCCAACAAGGTGGCTGCCACGTGGAGAAGCTGAAGAACACGGCTGGCTGGGGGGCCTCCGTCCTTGAGGGCCACTGCCCGAGACCAAGATGCCCTACTGGGCATAAAGCCAGGCGTGGGGAGGGCAGCTTTTCCCGAGGCCTGCAGGTAAAGCCTCTGACAAGACCCCATGCAGAACTCTGGCCTGGAGCCCACTCCTCAGGGCCTGGTCGGCCTGGGGCCCCCTCTCCAGCAGGGTGCGCCCTGGGCACCAGACGCCAGTCCCCTCCCAGCCCCAGACCCTCTAGGAAACCTTCCCCGTGGGGGCAAGCCTCTGGGGTGCGCGGGGCGGGGCTGGCAGGAGGAGCCCCCACACTGGAGTCTGGGCCCTGGCGGGCGGGCAGCGCCGCTCTTGCTCCCACACTGCCGGGTCAGCAGGCCTGCGGCTGACCTTGTCTGCTGGCTGCCCACGTCTCCCTGGACGTGGCTGTGGCCATGGCCGTGACCGCCTGAGGGAGTCAACTGAGGCCAGGAGGAGGCAAGCTTTGCCCAAGAGCACCTTCTGGATCAGAGGTCAAGGGTCACCGAGAGGCAAGGTCAACCTGCTTCTGCACAGGACACCAGTCAGTGTCCGGGTAGAGAAGGCAGTGCACGGACTTAAACCTGAGAAAGGGACACGGGGGTCAGGGCCATGGGAGGGCGGGCTGGCTCCAGAGCTCCTCCCCGTGGCCCACTCACCGTGTGGGGTCCTGCTGCAGGCTGAAGCCTCCGGCCACGTTCACCACGTTATGTGGGTTCTCAGGACCCCCATAGCTCAAGGTCACCTGGGAGGAGAGGAGGATGACTTACTCTCTAACCAGCCCGTCCAGCGTCCCCACCCACCTCAGGATCCAGCCAGGAGGTTGCTCGGTCCCTTGGGCCCTCCCGGGTGATGCGCTGGGCGGTATCGCCAGCACAGACGCCACCACAGGAGGGCAGCTGGTGTCCCCTGCCCCAAAGGATTCACTGTCCCTGTGGCCTGGTCTGTGACTCCCATCACACCCAGACCCCTGCTCCCCACCTGGTGCCCCAGGCCTGTCACCTGGGAAAGCACAGTGGCTGCCCTTTCAAACGAGCCCCCATTTGAAACTGGGTGCCCCCGCCACACCTAGGACCCACCCCGGCCACTCTCGAATCCCTCTGAGCGCTCGCCAGGCCCCTCGCACCCCGGAGCACCTGCTGGAGCACGGAGTCGGGCCGCAGCCTGCGCAGGTTCTCCAGGTGGGAGTGGAACAGCGAGCTGTGCCGCAGGCGTGCGCCCAGCAGCCCCTCTACGATGTAGCCCACCGTGCAGTCATCCGGCAGCCGCACCCGCTCGGCTGTGCTCATGAAGCTTCCCAGGCTGGAAGGGGGGTGCTGGTCAGCACCTCCTCAGTCCTCAGCACCCCCTTCCCAGGCAGCTGGCGCCCCCCAGCCTCCTCACCTGGCCCATGGGCTCATCTTGAGGGCAAGGCCTCTGCTCAGGCAGAACCCGGCCCCACCTGTAGCAAACCAGAACTTGACAGTGGTCACCTGGGGAGGAGGGAGCTGCCAGTCAGACAGAGAGCTCCCCACCCTGACTCTTTGTCTAGACGCCTTAAGTGTGTCCCGTAAGCCACTCCTTAACAGCTCTTGGTCCAAGCAGCAGAAGCTCCCCGGGGCATAGGGGACAGGGCTGCTGCCACCTAGTTGCCTGTAGCCCCAACCCCTCCTACAGAATCTCCTGAAATGCCCCACTTGGGTGGATGAGGCGCCTGCCCCTCCCCGTGCCCTGCGCTCACGGTTCCACCTCCCTGGACCCTCTCGGTAGCTTCGATGGGGTGGTCCAGGCTGGGCCGCCCCAGGTAGACGTCCTGGCTGGGTGAGAAGGTGGACAGCAGCTGCAGCAGGCCTTCAGGGTTCACGTAGTTGTCGTCGTCCACGTGGCAGAACCACCTGGGAGCAGGGGCAGTGTCAGCGCAGCGGCCCAGGTGCGTGGTCCCGGGCTCCCGGGGCTGCGGCCACCACACACTTGCGTCCAGACTCGATGAACTGGTCGTACTCCACCGACATCTTGCAGGACAGTGCCTGGCGGGTATGCACAGCCGAGCAGTTGGTGTTGATGACGTGGCTGCCTGCTGGGTTGGAGGGGCAGGGGATGCCTGAGGGCTGGGGCCAGGCGCTGAGCTCAGGCAAAATGTGGCTGCCTGACAGGCTTGGCCACCTCGCTCTGCTCGAGGCCCCAGGCAGGGTCCAACCACAGCCCCGCGTGGCCTCACCCAGCTGACCCTGTTGGTGATCTCTACGGCCCAGGCAGATGACAACCACCTGGAACCCCATGAGTGGACACCCACCCGGAAATGGGCCTGAGGTGGGACCAACCTGACCACCCGGGCTTCTTTAGGGATGTGGCAGGGTGAGGCCCTGGAGGTGCGCCACTGGCCCCAGGGGGACCGAGCTTGGCTGGCAGGGTGGGGCCCGGGGTGCTGCCCTCTACCAGCCAGTGACCCTGCGCAGGTGACCTGGCCCCTGAGCCCTTGAACGCAGTGGCCGACCAGGGGCGGCTGGCACTGGGAAGGGGGTGTGGGAGGGGCTCTGGCACGGCTGGGCTGGGGGCACTCACCTCCCTGCTGCTGCAGGTCAGGGTCGTCCCCATCCGTGAAGATGAAGGTCTGGGGGGAGACCACTGTGAGTGTCGGCCGGGCCTCGGCCCCAGGGCCCGGGGATGAGCGTCCCAGGTCGGCGCCCAGCTCAGCCGGGCGGCGGGGCTAGGCCGGCGCTCGCGCCCCCGCGGGAGGGCACACCGCGTCTGGGGCCCAGGGAGCACCGAGGGGTGACGCTGGGGGTCCCCGGGACTCGGGCCTGGGCTCCGGCGGGACGCGGCGGCGGGGAGGGGGCGGGGGGGGCCCACCTGCCGGCGGGCCCGGGAGATCCAGGTGCGTAGCAGCAGCCGCAGGCGCGGCCCGTGGTTCTTCCGCGTGGTCTTGACGGCGATGAAGACGTCGTCGGGCCGCAGGCGGGGGGCGGCGGCGCGGGCGGGGGGCGCGCGCGGGCCGGGGCCGGGGGTGGGCGCCGGGGGGCGGGCCGGGGCGGGCGCGCGGGGCAGCGGCAGCGGCAGGGGCAGCGGCAGCAGCAGCAGCAGCAGCGCGGCCAGGGCCGCGGCCAGCGCGAGGCAGGCCCGACACAGCGCCCCCCGCGCGCGGCTCATACGGCCGCCGACCGACCGGCTGCACCCGGGCCAGGCGCGCGCCGCGGCCCCTTTAAGAGCCGCCCCGCCCGCGCCGCGACCCGGAAGCGGCGGCCGCGCTGCCCCGGAAGTGGACGGCGCGTCGCGGTGGGGTGGGCGAAGATGCCGCTGCCGGTTCAGGTGTTTAACCTGCAGGTAACGCGCCGCGGCCGGCGGCCCCGCCGCGCCCCCGCCGCCGGGCCGGGGCCGGAGCCGAGGCCGAGGCCGAGGCCGAGGCCGGCCGAGCGGCGCGCCCCCCGCCCCGGCCCGCCCGCCGGCCCGCGCTAACGGCCCTGCCCCGGCCGCCGGCTCTGTGGGGTCGGGTGCGGAGGCCCAGGCCGGGAGGGGGCGCCGGCCCCGCGGGGGGCGCACGTCTGGCGGCCGGGCGCGGCGGGCACGGCGGCCTGAGCGCCCCGTCGGCCGCGCGCTGCGCTGCGGGGTGCCCGGGACCCTCCCCCACGGCCCCCCGGCGGTTCGGAGGGGCTGCGGCCGGACGTGCAGGGCCCTCGGGCGGCCCCGCTCCGCAGACGGGCGGTTAGAGCCGCCCCGAGGCGCCCTCTCGACGGCCGTGCGGGAGACGGGGGGCGCCCGGCAGAGCTGGGCCGGGCCAGGCCGTCCCCCACTCGAGGTGACAAGGCGCCCGTTGCAGGGGGCTGTGGAGCCCATGCAGATCGACGTGGACCCCCAGGAGGACCCGCAGAACGCCCCCGATGTCAACTACGTGGTGGAAAACCCCACCCTGGTAGGATCCGGGGGGTGGGGGGCAGTGCCCCACTCGGGCCAGGTCTCACTCGGACCCAGCAACCTTTAGAGTTTCCAGTGCCCGTTTGTGAGGGCTTGTTAACTTGGTACCCTGCACCCCACTTCTCGTGTAGCACGCCGTGACCCAGGCCACCCACCCAGTGAACCTCCTGGGCCCCTGGTGGCCCCCCTGCCGTGGGGAAGGGCCAGCCTTCGGCCACTGGCCTGACTCAGCAGCGGCACCCTGCACCCCCTCCCCAGGACCTGGAGCAGTACGCAGCCAGCTACAGCGGCCTGATGCGCATCGAGCGGCTGCAGTTCATCGCAGATCACTGCCCCTCACTGCGGGTGGAGGCCCTGAAGATGGCCCTGTCCTTCGTGCAGAGGACCTTCAACGTGGACGTGTACGAGGAGATCCACCGGAAGCTCTCAGAGGCTACCAGGTGAGGCCCAGGCCTTGACCAGAGGGGTGGGCCAGGTCTGCTGTGTCCCCACCAGGGGCCTTTCCTGCACCTCTGACGCCGGCCCCACGCATGGGGTCACTGCAGCAGCAGTGTGTCCCCTCCCAGCTGGGAGAACTCAGAACCCACTCTTCCTGCACGCATGCGGTGCGGTTGTTCCGCTGCTGAGCTCAGGTGGTGGCTGGCTTCTCTGCTGTCAGCGTGGCCACCCACTTTTCCCACCGGTCTCCCCCCACGCTGCCACGTCCCCTGCCACTCGGTGCTCCACCAGGGGTTCCTGGGAGGTGCCTTCCTGCTGGCACATCAGTCCTGATGGCCAGGTCCTCCCTCAGGGACCTGCAGAGCACACCGGACGCCATCCCTGAGAGTGGTGTGGAGCCCCCTCCCCTGGACACAGCCTGGGTAGAGGCCACGCGGAAGAAGGCCCTGCTGAAGCTGGAGAAGCTGGACACGGACCTGAAGAACTACAAGGGCAATTCCATCAAGGAGAGTATCAGGTACCACCCAGGGCAGGGATGAGGAAGGGCGGCAGGATGGCCAGGTCCATCCACACTGGGCAGCACTCACAGCCCGGCCCACAGGCGTGGCCATGATGACTTGGGTGACCACTACCTTGACTGTGGGGATCTCAGCAACGCCCTCAAGTGCTACTCCCGGGCCCGGGACTACTGCACCAGCGCCAAGCACGTCATCAACATGTGCCTCAACGTCATCAAGGTGGGTCCTGGGGTGGTCGGCAAAGGCACAGGTGGGGGCAGCCATGCCCTGGGCCAGGAGGGGCACCCCAGGCTGAACTTGCCCGCCCACCTGCCCACCAGGTCAGCGTCTACTTGCAGAATTGGTCTCACGTGCTGAGCTACGTCAGCAAGGCCGAGTCCACCCCCGAGATCGCTGAGGTAACCAGCACCTGTCCACTTCCTCACCACTGCTGGGAGCGGTCTGGGGGCTGAGGAGGGTGTGCAGGAGCTGGTAGCTCACGTCCGCCGCCTTCCCCTGCAGCAGCGTGGGGAGCGGGACAGCCAGACCCAGGCCATCCTCACCAAGCTCAAGTGTGCCGCAGGTGAGGGCCCCGGGGTCCAGGGCGGGAGGACGCCACAGCTGCTGCGGTGCTGGCTCCTCTGTGGGTGGCATGTGTGCACTGGACTGTTTTCGTCCTCATGGCTGGGGCAGACCTACACCCACAGGTGGCCCCTGCCTGGCTCAGGTGCTGGTACAGGCCACTGTGCCCAGTGGTTAGGAGTGCAGACATTGCCTCTGGCAGTGGCCATCAGGGCCAGGCCCCACCTGAGTCCCCAGCAGCAGTGATAGCAGCTGTGCTGGCCTCCTGGGCACCATGTGGTGCTCTCAGCTGTCTCTTGCCTCCATAGCCAGAGCTCTGTCCGAGGCTGAGGCACCCCTGAAGCGGGTCAGGCCTCACCCTCCCCTCCCCCACTAGGGCTGGCGGAGCTGGCTGCGCGCAAGTACAAGCAGGCAGCCAAGTGCTTCCTGCTGGCCTCCTTCGACCACTGTGACTTCCCCGAGGTGAGGGGCTCGGGCAGCAAGGGAGGAGCCCTTGCTGGGACTTGGAAGTAGGGAGGGCTCATGGTTGGGCTCTTTGTTGGGGGGGGTCTCTTCCAGTGGGTCCTAGGCATTCTGAGTGGGGTTGGGGGAAACCAGCCGCATTCCGGGCTTCCTCCCTGGCTTCTGTCCAAGCCGGCAGTGACTCCAGGTCTCTGCCCCTCAGTTGCTGTCCCCCAGCAATGTGGCCGTGTATGGCGGCCTCTGCGCCTTGGCCACCTTCGACAGGCAGGAACTGCAGCGCAACGTCATCTCCAGCAGGTGTGTGAGGGTGGTGCTGGGCCCGTCCCCAGCCACCTGCTGCAGGGCGGGCACAGGGTGGGCAGGCACAGGGCGGCTCTGAGGAGTGTGGCCCTGCAGCTCCTTCAAGCTGTTCTTGGAGCTGGAGCCCCAGGTTCGAGACATCATCTTCAAATTCTATGAATCCAAGTACGCCTCGTGCCTGAAGATGCTGGATGAGATGAAGGTGAGGGATGGTCTGGCTGGAGGGCAGGCGAGGTGGAGGACCGGGGCAGTGGGCCCTGACCAGCTCTCCTTGCCAGGACAACCTGCTCTTGGATATGTACCTGGCCCCCCACGTCAGGACCCTGTACACCCAGATTCGCAACCGTGCCCTCATTCAGGTAAGTGTGGGTGGGAAATAGGCCAAGGCGGGGTGCTGCAAACGCAGCTGGAGGCCGTGTAGCTGACGCCCTCTGCCCTGCAGTATTTCAGCCCCTACGTGTCGGCCGACATGCGCAGGATGGCCACGGCCTTCAACACCACGGTGGCAGCACTGGAGGATGAGCTGACGCAGCTCATCCTAGAAGGACTCATCAATGCCCGCATCGACTCCCACAGCAAGGTGGCCGGCTGGGGCCGGGGTGGGTGTGTGGGGGTGCCTGGGCCCCCACTGACCCCGCCGCCCCAACAGATCCTGTATGCTCGGGATGTGGACCAGCGCAGCACCACCTTCGAGAAGTCCCTGCTCATGGGCAAAGAGTTCCAGCGACGTGCCAAAGCCATGATCCTGCGGGCGGCTGTGCTGCGCAACCAGATCCACGTCAAGGTAAGGGCAGGGGCAGTACCGGGCTGGGGGCAGATGGGTGGGCACACACACACCCTGGGCCAACGGCCTCATCTCTGCTGCAGTCTCCTCCCCGAGAAGGGAGTCAGGGGGAGCTGACGCCGGCCAATAGCCAGTCCCGGATGAGCACCAACATGTGAGGATGCCCTCTGTCCACCTCTAGGAAGATCCATGTGCCCCACCCCCACCCCTCAGACTCGGACACTTGGGCCCATCTGCTCCCAGAATTTCTGGAGGTGCCCCCTGTGGCCCAGTTGCAGGGGCCATGCTGTTGGGTTCCAGTCCTTGGCCCTACCTGGGCTTCTGCCCTGTGTCTCTGCCTGCACCCCCCATCCGTGACCCAGGGAACAGGTGGGCTGCCTGGAAGGAGAGGCCTGCAGGGCCTGCCTGGGGTACTGCCTCCCAACCCCCCTGCTCTCGCATCTCTGGGGTGGCAGACAGTTGTGAATCTTAGTCCATTAAAAGACAGCCTGAGAACACGCCCTCAAACTGTTCTTTCTCTGCCGGCTCCCTGGGCTGGGCTTTGGGGCAGGGTGCAGTCCTCGTCGCCCAGCCCCTTACAATGAGACAGCCAGGCCCCCGAAGACGGTCTCTGGCTGACATGGGTCAAGGCAGGGGGTCTCTGCCCATCTCCCTTGTGTTGAGGGCTCCAGGGGCCCCGCTCCTCCCTCCCAGCATGTAGCTGTGGTCAGGGGCGTCACTGGCTGGCTCTGTGTGTATCTCTGAAGAGGTTTATTGTTCACTTCTGAATACACGGTTGCGAGGACAGGGCAGGTCCAGCCTGGGAGCCTGCTCGCACGGTGCTGCTCCAGGCCCAGCGTGGCCAAGGGCATTCCCTGAGTAACGGTGTCTCCTTAAGGGGACTGGAGGCTTCAGCAGCAGTCCTGAGCCGAAGGAGCGGGGCATCAGCCTCTGCTGGCCCTTCAGGCCAGGGCACTGCCCACGACCTCAGGGGAGCCACCTGGGTCCCCAGGCCCCACCTGCTGAGACTCCTGCAGTCGGGGCTGGGCCCCCTTCCAGGCCAGGGACTTCTCCAGCTTGGTTTTAAAAAGCAATCCGTGACCTGGCAGAGAGGGTTGGGAGGAAATGGGGTTCTGGAAGCCAAGGGTCCCACTGCCCGCAGGGTCCAGGGAGGGGGTGATGAGGGTGAGGGAGGCAGGTGCCCCTTACCTGGGCAGTCTGCGGTCTCTTTGAAAGCTCGCTTCTTGCAGCAGCCCCGGCATAGGTTAAATACACACCTGTTACCCTGTACACAGAAGAGCCAGTAAGCCTGTGCCCAGAGCAGGGCCCTCTGAGGCCCAAGGGACTGTACTTTCTGAGATGGAGTCAGCACTGCAGAAGGGCCAGCTCACCTTTGGGTTTCCACACTGATCACACTTTGCATATTTTGCTGGGGAAAGAACACAAGAAGGTCCTGGTGAACAGGAGGAGCCAGCCCCCACCGTGGCTGGCCCCCACCCAAAGCCCAGCGGGCGTCGCTGCTCACTGGCCAGGCCTCTTGGGGAGAGCAGACACAGCAGACTTGGTCATCAGGGACCCCCAGAACTCCGCAGGGCCCTCACCCACCCCAGGGGTTGGCAGACTCTGGCCAATCCCAGGAAGGTGATACCGAGCCCCCCAGCCTCTCTGGCCGCCTCAGGGTGGCAGCTGTAGGAGCTTACGCTTCAGAGAGGGGTCGAAGGTCTTATGGGGGTTCCTCAGCTGCTTCTTCTGCTTGTTCTTGGACAGGGTGTCTGTGCTGCCCTCCTCCTCCTCCAGGGCCCGCTTACTGCGGGCTCCCGTGCTGTCCTTGCTCCCCTCCTTGGGCCTGCAAGGACCCCAAGTGGGCAGAGCTGAGGGCCCCATGGGAGCGACCCGCCAGCCAGTCTCAGCAGCTCCACTCTCAGGCTGCCGGCTGGGTCAGCGCAGAGGCCGGGACACCGGGGCTCCAGGGTCTGAGCCACTGAGCCCAGGCAGGGCTGCGGCCAGAGGATAGCCTGGCCTCACCTCGGAGAACCCAGAGGAGACCGCCCAGGATCAGAGAAAAGGAAAAGACGTACAATCGGAGCGTCCACAGAGGAGAGGCGAGCGGGCATCTGGGGGGGTTGGGGCAGAGAGCTGTGCTCTCCCCGGCACTGCTGCGCACCCCTCCCGGCCCTCGCCCTCAGGTGCTCACCCCGGTCGGAAGTAGGGCTGGCAGATCCAGTGGGAAAAAGGCAAGCCGCCCGGGGACTCCTCCCCCTCCTGCCTGGACATGTCCTCCTGCAAAAGTCCAGGGGCCCCGGTCACCAGCCACGCCCCTCCCCAGTATGCTGGGCGGCTGGCTCCCAGCCCCTGCACGTGCCTGGCACCGGAGCTTCAGCTCCTGGCTCACGGCGGCGATGCCCTCCAGGGTCTTCACTCTGGCGAGCTCCTCCCGAAGCTGCTGGTGCACCTGCAGCCTGAGAGAGACCCCGTCACGGGACTCCCACCCAGCTCCTGACCGCTGACCCTGAACCCTGGGCAGATGGGAGCTGCCTCTCTTTCTTCTGACCCGGGCTTCTAGCCTGATCTCGCCATCCCCCAACCCTTCAAGATCAGACTTGGTGGCAAACGGTCTCGGTAGATGTTTCTGGAGACCCCATCTTAAAACCCCAACACCGCAGGGGGGCGCAGAATGGATGGCTTCTGCCTAGGGGGCTCACGTGTGGTGCCACAGCTTGAAGAGGTGGGCGCGGACGCAGGACAGGGGGCAGGGGTGCTGGCGCACAAGCTCCAGGTACTCCTCGGCCAGCTCCCACACAGCAGGGCTGCGGCCCTCGAACAGGGCGGGGTTGTGCAGGTTACCCTCTGCAGAGGAAAGGGGCTCACAGCGGAGGGCACATCCCCAGAGGAACCCACCCACCCCCAAGCCACACCACGTCACACCACGGGCCAGGCTGCTGCTGGCTCTGGCGGAGTGAGGACAGCGAAAGGCCACAGGCCGACCTGCTGGGTCAATGGCGCCAGGACACGGATGCCCCCCGTGGGTGGCGCACAGCCTCACCTGCACTCATGACGCCCTGCACCCCCGTGTCCCGGAGGCAGCGCTCCACGTCCCACAGGCACTGGATATTCCCATTGGCAAACACAGGGATGGCCACAGCCTTCCTGTCGGGAGCAGGGCACTCAGGAGAGAGCAGAGCTGTCCCCCACCCCTGGGCAGTGTCCAGCCCCCAGACTCCATCTTGGCAGGCACCTCTCTCCCCCACTGCCTAGAAGGCTTGAGGGCATGTCTCAGGGCTTGGATGGCCCACCCCACTCACCGCACAGCCCTGATGTGCTCCCAGGATGCGGTGCCTGACAGAGGCCCCTTCTGCTCCTTGGTGCGCCCGTGCACCGTCAGCAGCTAGGACACAGCAGTGCCAGCTCAGCCCCCAGACCGACCCAGGGGACCCTCTCCCTTTGGCTTCTGGGCATCAGCTTCCATGCAGTCGAGGAAAGGGTGTCCTGGGCCTGGCTCACTCGGTCCCTGCCCCCCACTAGACCGTGGGCCCCTGGCTACACGTAGGGCCAGCTCGTGTGGCCAGGGTGCAGGTGAGAAGCCTAGTTCCATTCAAGGGCCAGCCCTTTTGGAGTTGGCAGCACACCCACAGCCCAAGGCCAAAGTTGTAAGGGAGGAAGAGGCACCCATCTGAGCCCAGCACTGGTGGGGAGTGGGGGTGGGAAGAGAGCCTGGCCCCTCTCCCTGCCTCGTATTCCCTTCCCACACACAGGGGGGCTCACCCGCCCTCATCGGACCTCTCCTCAAGATCACTGTGGTTCCTGTCCACCCCCAGAGGATAAGCTGCTCCAGGGATGCACCTGGGAGCAGGCCCCCTCTAGGCCTGGCTCAGTGCATGAAGGGCCCTGCAAGTCCCTGGCCCCTCACCTGGCAGCCAGCCTTCTCCAGCATCTGGGCGTACCTCACGGTCTTGTCAATCTCTGGGAAGACACGGATTTTGCATGTGACCGGGACAGAGAGTTTTTCGTGGGCCAGCTGAACTGGGGAAAAAGAGAGTAGGCTTCTGAGAACTGTGGTGCTCACCTTTGGGCAGGTAGTGGGGACCCACAGCGAAGCCCCTAGAGGAGCACAGGCCCTGAAAGACATCCCCCACTTGACGACAGCTGAGAGGTCTGCATCCCTCCCTTCAGATCAGTGGAGGGGCCACGACCGGGCAAGGACACTGGCCCCTGCCTGCAACAGGTCGACAGTCCACTGCCACCTTCTACAGCAAGGCGAGTGCATGGCCAGGAGGTCCCTGCCGGCCACTTCCTATCCTTTGCCCAACCACACGAGGCCCTGCCACCCACATGCAGCCAACTCACTCATCCTCTGGAGCAGGCCCCACTCTTCCTGCAGGAAGGCTCCGTAGTGGCCTGCAGGGACAAACACGGTCCTCTGTACCCTCTTCCTCCCACATCCACATGGGCCACGAGCTGACCTGCCAGGCTGGCCCCAAGCTTCCTGCGTGGCTGTGCACACATCCAGAGCCCTTGGGCTGGGGCCTCCCTGAGTGGGCATCTCTGGGGAGACGGTCACTGAGCAGTTTCTCAGTGTCAGACTTGGGGGCTGTCTGCCCAGCTGCCCAAGCTCAAGGCGCAGAATGGCGGGCCCACCCCATGGTCTCTGACCACCCAGCAACTCCTCAGGCCCCATGAGGAAGAAAGGCTAAGCCCCACACAAAGGGAATGGCCACTGGGGCCACGGCAGTGAAGGGTGTGACAAGGTCCTCTGTCAGCAAATACATTTACCCAGGGGGAGCCTAATGACTTCCAGGCACTGGGGCAAGGGATGGCCTCAGGGCCAGCAGAGCCCTGTCCCCATCTGGAGCCTTGCCGCGGCCCAAAGCTGCTGCAGCTGCTGGACGCCACTGGGCCTTGACTCACCCCGCTTGGCTATCATCTGTGGGCAACCCAAGTTCAGGTCGATGGCATCACAGTAGTCCTGAGCCAGGAGTGCCGCCTGGACAAACACTTCTGGGTCATTGGCACAGAACTGGAGGAGACAGGACAGTCACCACGAACCCACGCCAGGCCCTGGTCCCGTGGCCGCCCACAAGGGTTCAGGAGACCCAGTGGGGGTGTGGTCCCAGGAGCTGACTATAGGACGGTCTCCTGTCCTAACCGCTTACAAAACGACTAAGTTAAGACACAACCCCGTGCCCCCAGATTCAGAGTCCCTTCCACTGTAACAGCCAGAGCCACTGATGTGCTGAGAGCAGAGCCATTCTTTCTAAGCGTTCTGAGAGACAGTGTGAGAGATGCAATGCAGGGGACATGATGGGGCTACGGACCTTTCCCGCAGCCACGCTGTCCATTTACCAAGGTCTGAGCCAGCTCCCAGGAAGGGGTCAAGCTCTGAGAAAGGCAGCTGCAGGTGCACCTGGCTTCCTAACCCTGATCCCCTGTCCCCACCCTCCAATCAGGGCTGAGAAAAGGTGCTCCCAGGGGCCCAGGCCCACGGACCTGCACAATGAGGGGCCGGTCCTCAGGGCACACCTCGCAGTACAAGTTCTCCTTCCGGTAGTTGGCATCACGGACAAAGACCTGGGCATGCAGCATGGGAGTGTAGCAGAGATGGGCCCCGTGGCGGCGACTCAACAGCCTCCAGGCTAGCTCGCTCTGGTCCACCATGGGGGCCACCACATGGCGGGCCCCCCGCAGCGTGCAGCTCCAGAACTCGAAGCCCTGCAGCTTTGGCATCTCTCCACACTGTGGGGGAGACCAGGGTCCAGCCACGTGGGTGGAGGATCAAACGGCCTCCAGGCCACATCAGTGCTGCCCCACGGTCACAAGCGTGGATACTCATGGCATCAGCTGGTGCGGGCCATGAAGTGAAACCCACCTTCAAGCAGAGACCCTGGGCAAGTCCCTCCACCTCTGAGCCTGGACCCCTCACACTTGCTCGCAGAATTAACGTCTGGCTGACCGGACTGGTGTTGAGGGTAAATGAAATCGTGGAAGCAGGGTCTCAGAGGACACCTGTAACTACAGCAGCTGTAACTACAAGGCCCAGGGACCCCCAAGGCGGGACTCTCCGGTGGGGACATCACTGGAGAGGTGAACCAGACTGGCCCTCCGGGTGCCAGGTGGGACCCGCCACGTCACTGCTGAGCCCAGGGTGCAGCGCTGATGACCTGGGGGAACCACCCTCCCCGCACCCGCACCCGCACCGGCGGCGGGACGCTCCCAGACAGCTCCCTCCAGGAGCCCGGCCTGCGACCCCTGAGCACCGCCATCCCTTCAATGGCCGAGCGCCCAGACGTGCCGCGGGTGTTTTGGGAAACTAAGATCACATATAGAAACACCTAAGTGCCACTGTGGTCCCCGACCGCGCAGCGCACGGGCGGCCCACGTGAAGGGGGAACCAGGCGGCGGCAGCGCCCGGCCCAGACCCCGCGGGAAACGCACCTGAGTCGGCCGAGCCCGGGCGCCCGCCGGCGGGGTCTTCCGGGAAGTTGTGGGGGCTCCGGGCTCACGCAAGGTCTGCAGGCCGCCTCGCCAGGGCTGCCGACGGGCCGCAGCCGAGCCCAGGGCTCCGAGCCGGGGCCGCCGGAAGGTGCCTACGCCACGGCAGTCCGGGCGGCGGGCGGTGCAACCGGAAACGCGTCCCCGGGAAACCGCGCCCGTCCTAGAAGGGGCCCGGCCGCGACAAAGGGCCCGGGCGGGGTTGGAGGTCAGAGGCCGGCGGTCGGCTCGGCGACCCCGGCCCCGAGCACGGAGACTCCACTCGTGATTCTGGGGTTTCCTCCTGCCTCAAGCTCCCCATCGGCTGCAGCGCACAAGTCGTGCGCCCAGCAAGCTAAGCCCTGCTCCGCCCTGCGTTACGGCCCCGCCCCCGGCGCCCCGGCCCCGCCCCCGGCGCCCCGGGCCCGCCCCCGGCGCCCCGGCCCCGCTCCCGGCGCCCCGGGCCCGCCCCCGGCGCCCCGGCCCCGCCCCCGGCGCCCCGGCGCCCCGCCCTGCGTTACGGCCCCGCCCCCGGAGCCCCGCCCTGCGTTACGGCCCCGCCCCCGGCGCTCCGGCCCCGCCCCCGCCCTCGGCGTCCCGGCCTCGGCGCCCCGCCCTGCGTTGTGGCCCCGCCCTGCGTTGTGGCCCCGCCCTCGGCGCCACGGTCCCGCCCCCGGCGCCCCGCCCCGCGCCTGCGGCGGCCATGGGGAGCGTGGCGGAGGCCGGTGCTCACCTTCTCGGGCGCCGTGGCCCGCGAACACGATGATGTCGGTCGCGGCTCCGACTCGGGGGCTCGGGCGCCCCGCGGGTTGTCGCCTCGCGCGGGGACGGGGTGGGGCGCAGCCCGGGGCGTGCCCTGTGCGGCCGGCGCACGTGCGGGCTCGGGCGCCGCTCCCTCCGGCCGGTGGGCCGCTCGGCGGGGCTGCGGGCAGAGGCAGCCGCGTGGGCGGCATTTCCGGAGGCGCGGACCGCGGGCCCAGAAGAGCGACGGGGAGACTGGACGGCGGTCCGCGCTGCCCGCCCGGCGCCCCGGGAGCCGGCCGGCGCCCGCGTTGGAGAAACGTGGTCTCCTTTCGGAAGTGAAGGAACGAACGTCCGTGCGCAGGACAGCGCGGGAGCCCGGGGTCCCCGGGGCTCCTCTTCTCCCCCCTCGAGCGCCTGGCCTGAGGCCCTGCAGCGCCCAGGAGGAAGGCTGCTGTGGGAGGGCGTCCCCGAGGGGACGGCCAGTGGCCCGAGCCCTGCGGGGCAGCGAGGCGCGGGCGGGGACGGCGCCGCGGGCCTGGTGCGCCCGCAGCCCCGGGCAGCCCGCAGCGCAGCGCGCAGGCTCGGCGAGCGCCGGGCCCGCTGTGCACGGCGATGGGCTCAGGACCAGGCTCGGCGCAGACAGAGAGCCAGGCCCCGAGGTCCGCTGCGTGAACTCCGAGTGCACCCCCAGCCCACACCACGGCAGGAGGCCTTCGCGCTTCAACGTGGGGAAGCAGCCCCTGACCAGGAACTGGCCGGCCACGGAGCTGCCCTGGCCCTGGGCGAGCCGTCGGGAGGCGGGTGAACATATTTACAAGGTTTTAGACCCCCGGCGGGGGTGCGCAGCCGACGGAGAGGTCGCGGTGGGATCCCCGGTCAGGGCACCTGTCCGGGTTTCCCGCTCCATCCCCAGTAGGGGGCGTGAAGGAGGCAGCTGATTGATGTTTCTTTTTCACATGGATATTTCTTTCCCTCCCTTCCTCTCTCTCTCTCTAAAAAATAAATAAAAACCTATTTAAATAGCCTTGGCCGGTTTGGTTCAGCAGTTAGAGCGTTGGCCTGCGGTCCAGAGAGACTGGGTTCGGTTCCCGCTAAGGGCATGTACCTTGGTTGCAGTTTATCCCCGGCCCTGGTTGGGTCCTGTGGGTGGCAGCCACTCGGATGTGTCCCTTTCACATAGATGTTTCTCTCCCCCCCACCCCCCCCCCCACTCTATCTGAACAAAAAATGGAAAAATGTCCTCCGGTGAGGATAAAAAAAAAAATTTACATTAATAATAAAGTTTTAAAAATCTACCAGAGACCCCAATGCCACACTGCAGAGGGAAGGGGCAGGCTCCCTGAGGGGACTGGGTTGACCAAAGAATAAAAGAGAAGGCACGGATTACCAAAGGCAGGAGTGAAGGAGGAGACATCACTGTGCACCTTAAGAAAATCAAAGTCAAAAGGGAATCTATGAAAAACTGTATCCCCCAAATCAGATAAATTAGTTGAAATGACAAATTCCTTAAAAAGATACAAGTTACGGAAACTGACTCAAGAAGAAACAAAATCTGAATAGATCCAAACAAGTAGGACATTGAATTTAAAATGTTACCAAAGCCCATGCCGGTTTGGCTCAGCGGTTAGAGTGAAGGCCTGCAGACCAGAGAGTCCCGGGTTTGGTTCCCGCTAAGGGCATAAATAAATAAAAGAGGAGCTTGCATCTAAAAAAAATGTTCCCACAAAAATGAAGTCCAGGCCAGGCTCAGATGACTTCAATGAGTTCTAGGAAATATTAAAGAGTGGACACCTGCCCTGGCCAGTGTTGCTCAATGGTTACGGTGTCGCTGGTGCACCGAAGGGCCTTGGGTTTGATTCCAGGTCACGGGCACATGCCTGGGTTGTAGGTTTGATCCCCAGCCCAGTTAGGGTCTTGCAGGAGGCAACCAATTGATGTGTCTCTCTCACATCGATGTCTCTCTCTTCCCCCATCCTTCCCTCCCTTCCATATCTAAAAATCAATGGAAAGCCCTGGCCAGTTTGGCTCAGGGGTTAGAGCATCGGCCCGAGGACCAGTGAGTCGTGGGTTCGATTCTGGTCATGGCCAGATACCTCCGTTGCGGTTCGTCCCTGTCCCCGGTCGGGTCGTGCAGGAGGCAACCAGTCGATGTGGCTCTATCGATGTTTGTCTCTGTCTCTCCCTCCCTCCCTCCCACTCTATCTAATGATACATGGAAAAATATCATCGGGTGAGGATTAACAAAACAAAAAGTAAATATAAGTTTTGACATAAATATACACACCAGTGAAACTATCACAATAAAAATAATGAAAATACTGATGACCTCCAATGTTTCCTCGTACCTCTTTGTAAGTCGCCTCCCCAGCAAGCAATGAATTATTTTCTGTCTAGGATTTTATATGAATGGAATCACACCCTATGTCCTTTTTTTTTTTTTTGGTCCAGTGTCTTTCTCAGCATATAGTATTTCGAGGTTTATCCGTGCTGTCGCGTGGTAGTGGTTCCTTCCTTTCTACTGCTGAGGGCTGTCCCGTTGCACAGGTGCCTGTGGTAGACAGCCGGGTTGTCCCAGCCCTGGGCTGTGACAAAAAAGCTGCAGTGATGGACACCTGCTCCATTTATTGGGGTAAATGCTTATGAGAGGAGCCGCCGGGTCTCGGGTAGGTGTGTGTTTGACTTTTTAGGAAACTGCCGAACTGTTCACAGTGTGGTTGCAACGTTCGCCTTCCCACCACTAGGAAATCGGAAAGGTGGCTCCGCATCCCCGCTTACGCTGGGGGCTCCTGGCTCAGCCATGCAAAGCGGCGTGACCCCCACCAACGATGCCATCTCCTCCTGCGCTGCTTTGCTTTCTGTGCAGCTCCTTTGCTGAAATGTTTGCTCCAAATCTTTTGCCCAATAAAAAAAATTTTCCTTTTGTTGACTTTGGGTTCTTTAAATATTTTGGCTACGAACCCTTTATGAGATATGTGAGTTGCAATACTTTCAATGGCCCAACCTTTTCATGTTTTAACAGTGTCTTTTAAAGAGCAGAAATGATTTGATGAAATCCAAGTCAGCCGTGTATGTTCTTATCGCTTGTGCTGTTGATGTCATATCTAAGAAATATTTGTGTAACCCAAGTTCACAAAGATTTTCTCCTATATTTACTTGTATAAGTTTTATAGTTTTAGAAGTTACATTTAGGTCTATGATCCATTTTGAGTTAAATTATGTGTATGTTCTGAGGTAAGGATCCAAGTTTTTTGCTCTTTCTTTCTCTTTCCTCCCTCCCTCCTTTTTTTTGTTTTTATCCTCACCCGAGGACATTTTTTGTTCAGATAGAGTGGGAGGGGGAGAGAGGAACAGAGAGAGAAACATCGACGTGAAAGGGACACATCGAGTGGCTGCCACCCACACGACCAACCAGGGCCGGGGACAAACTGCAACCGAGATACACGCCCTTAGCGGGAACCGAACCCGGGTCTCTCCGGACCGCAGGCCGATGCTCTAACCGCTGAGCCAAGCCAGCCAGGGCTTCTTTTCTTTTTTTGCATGTGGAGATCCAATTATTCCAGAATCATGTATTGAAAAGACAACCCTTTCTCCATGGCATTGTCTGGGCAATGGTTGAGAATCCATTGTCCACATACATGTGAGTCTGTTTCTTGACTCATTATTTTGTTCCATCAATCTAATTACATATTTTCATGTCAATAACACAGTCTTGATTATTGTAGCTTTATCATAGATCTTTTTTTTTTTTTTATTCTCACCCGAGGACATTTTTTTTGCATTTATCTTCAGAGAGAGTGGGAGGGAGAGAAGGGGGAAGAGAGAGAGAGAGAAACACTGATGTGAGATACACATCGAGTGGTTACCACCCACACGACCCCAACCGGGGCTGGGAGCAAACTGCAACCGAGGTACGTGCACTTAGCAGGAACCAAACCTGGGTCTCTCTGGTCCACCGGCCGACACTCTTAACTGCTGAGCCAAACCGGCCAGAGCTATCATAGATCCTTTTTTCTTTTTTCCAATATGTTTTTATTGATCTTATTTTATTTCTTTTAGAGAGAGAGGAAGGGAGAGATAGAAACATCAATGTGAGAGAGCAACATCATTAGCTGCCTCCT